TCTGCCCTGATTTCTTCTTCACGCTGAGGTGGAAGTCACCCCAGGGATCCCACCTCGATCCCCTCTAAAAGCCTCAACTTCTAACACAGTCGCCTGCTCAGGTCCCGGGGTGCAGACCTCTGCACCAGCACTGCACCTGGCGGGCCTGAAGCTCTGCTCCTGTCACTCTGCGATGCTGGCCCTCCTGCCCACTACAGACTACGTGACTGCTGCCCGTGGGCTCACGTGATGCTTCTTCCTCCCTCTGAGGGGCCCCCAAAGGCCTGTGGGGCCCTCCCCCAGAGAGACCCGTCTGCCAGGATCCCGGATCTCAGGGCTGGCCTCTGAGCTGCCTCCGGCTCAGTGCTGGGGTGACTGGGGAGGTAAGGGGGTTGCAGGGAGGGGACAAGCCCGGCTATTTCACTTCTCCCTGCAAACCAGCAAAGCCTTTACAACCATCGATTTTCCCACATTAAGCTGTTTCTTGCATGGGCTCCTAGTAAAAGTAAAGTTGCTCAGTCATGTCCGACTCTTTGTGACCCCATGGACTATAGCCTACCAGTCTCCTCCATCCATGGGATTTTCCAGGCTAGAGCACTGGAGTGGGTTGCCATTTCCTTCTCCCATGGTTCTTCCCAAGCCAGGGATTGAACCTAGTTCTCCCACACTGCTGGCAGACTCTTTACAGTTTGAACCACCCCTAGCCTGCAGTCTATCCACCAAGAGCAGACCTGAGATACACCCAGGCTTTGCAGGGCAGAAGGAGTCACCATGGAGAACACCCGGTGACATCTGACCACAGGGACGAGGGGCTGGAAGGACGCTGGTCACACTGAAGAGGGCCGGATGGGCCACTAGGCAGCTCAGGTGCTTTTGTGGACGAGTTACTGACTCACCGCTGGCTCTGTGGGGAACAGTGAAACCAGGAAACATCCCTCCCTCTGTGTAGGTCCCACCCTGCACTCAGCTCCTTCCGAGCCGGGCTGCCCCGGGAGCCCGCAGGTCAGCACGCTACCCGGTTCCTGCCAGGACCTCAGCTTCCTACTTCCGGAAAAGGCGGTTATCACAAGTCCAGAGAAGGAGGCAAAGGGGAAGCTGGCCGTGAGCTTACCTCCTGGGGCCGCCTCGAGGGGCCGCCCCGCCCCGGGATCGCAGGCAAGGCGGACCACAAGCCCAGGGACGGCTGAGGGCTGCCTGCGGGCAAGCGCAGGGGACAGACAGCCAGGACAGACCAGCTCCGTCTCGCTTTCTGTCTGCATCACCCTCATCACTGTCTCTGCTTTTTTTTTTTAATATTGTTATATTTATATAAGAAAAATATTTTTTCCAAAAAAAGTCAGTAGGTATAAAATGGCATCCCACCCCGTCCAGTACCAAGGAATATTTGTGCACACACGTATCTCACGTCGTAGACATAAACAGAGGAATGACCGCAGGCCCTTGGGCATGGGCCCCTCGAGGCAAAACCACGCAGACGCAGGGGCCCAGCCCCCACCCAGTCTGCACCTGCAGAGCAGGGGGCTTCCAGGAGTCACGCCAGGGCGCACGCTGGGTGTCTTCTGGGTGCCCGGCCGAGGCACACTTCCAGGGTCTACGTGTCAGGCGGTGGTCTGGGGGCACTATGCCCACGTGCACGCGCCCCGACCTCCATGCGCAGGATGGGAGGCGGGGCTCTGCTGTCCCCCGCGTTGTCCCTGAGCACAACTCACTCCGGCGCTCCCTGGGGTCGCTGGGCCCACGGGCAATGGCAGGACAGAAGGGGCACACTGGCCATGTCCCGTGTCCTCTCCGGCTCCGTCGAGGCCCCACGGGGCTTGGACCCTAGGTCTCCTCCTCCACCTTCAGGATCATCCCCGAGAAGGCCTCCAGGCCGGTGCGGCTGCCCTGAGAGGCTCCAACCGGTCTGCAGACGGTCCCATCCCCTGCGGAGCCGCCTGAGCTGGCGGGAGAGGTGCCCCGGGTTGGGAGGGCCTCCACCAGCCTCCCCAGGGTCTGGGTGAGCGCCTCGATGCCGTTGGCCAGCCGCTGGCTCTGCTCAGCCAGCCGCTCCAGCAGCAGGTTCTGCTGGGCCATCAGCGTGCTCTGCTGCTGGGACCAGGAGCTGAGCAGGGCACCCTGCCGCCGCTGCGCATCCAGCAGCCGCCGCTCCAGCTCTGAGGCCTCAGCCCCTGTGGCCTTCCCGGAGGGCTGGGGTCCTGCCGAGGCAGGCGGCGAGGGCCGGGGGGGTCCAGGGAGCGCGGCCACCGGGGGCGCTGAGCCTGGGGAGGCGGGCGGGGACGGGGAGGAGGTGGACGCAGGGAGGGCTCCTCTGGGGTCCAGGGGGTCGGCTTCAGGCGGGCTCGGCCCATCCAGTGTCTGCAGGGGCAGCCACAGGCAGCCAGGGGCCTCGTCCTCCTTGTCGGCTAGGAGGGGGGAGACAGGAAACGTGAGCCTTCGCTGGCCGGGATCCAGGCAGTGCTAGGGGGGCCCCCGGTGCACGAGGCCCTCTGTACACACAGCTGTCTCGGCCTTTCTCGGGGCCCCTCCGTGGTGGGCAGCAGCGCCCACAGGGCGCCGAGACTCAGAGAGTGAAGGACGTCCTCCAGGCATGCCAAGATAAAACTCCAACCTGGCAGCTCCAAGGCCAAGGCACCACCACCAGGCTGCCATCTGTCTGTCTGTCCACTCACCCAAGCTGGCCATCATCTACCCACTATCCTGTCTGTCCATCTGTCTACCTACATGTATCCACCCACACATCCATCCCTTCATCTGTCTGCCCATCTGTTTGCTGGTCAAGCATCCACCTGTCCCTCCATCTGCCCACCTCCTTCCTTCTGTCCATCCATCCATCTATGTGCATCTTCCCCTTCATCCACTGTGCATCTCTCAGCCATCCATCCTCAAGCCAGACCATGCACCCCTCCATCACTCACCCACATCTCTGTCTGTCCATCCACGCACTTGTGTTAACACCCTTCCAGTCCTTCAGTCCATCTATCCATCCACCCAACCCTCCATCTGTCTGTCCAGCTGGCCATCCACCAAGTGGACGTCCAGAAAGATAAGTGGAGTGGATATAAAAGCAGCACTTCGCCAGGAAAACCTGAGACCTGGAATCCTACACACTAGGCTCCAAAACCAGATCCACCTTTGGGGAGCAGTGTGGCTGTGGGAAGCTCTTCTCTCCTCTGGGTCTCAAGGCCCTGTCTGCATGTGGAAGGCCAGAGGCCGTGATGCCTGTCCTGCCAACACTTCCCAGCACGCTGCGGGCAGTGGGCAGGAGCCGGAGGGCTTTCTGAGTGGTGGCCACTGTGGGATGCACCTCCTGGGCGGAGCCCCCCTCGCCTCACCTATGGGGCAGGGCCCCACCTGGGGAGGGCAGCGTCACCCCGGAGCACCGGGCCCATGGGCCCCCTAGCAACGGGCAGGCCAGGTTCCGAGCCTGCCGGGCCCCGGGCACAAGTGGCCGCCCCGCCGCCGCCTCCTTGTCCTCCTCGTCCTCCTCACCGTCCCCTCCTCCTTCCGTGGTCCAGGCCCGCGCTGATCCTTCTGAGCCGGCGGCCCCCGGGGGCACAAAGGGGAGCCAGCCGCCCTGCCGGCGTGTTGCTTCTCTGATGAGATGCGGCTTCGGGAGTGAGGCCCTCGGCGGGCAACGTCCAGCTCCGAGTCCCCGCAGCAGAGGCCGGGCCGGGCTTCCGACGAGTCCACATGCTTGTCAGTTTCAACCGCTGCCTTCTCTCTGGGAACCCGGGAGGGAGCAGGCCCGGGGGAGCAGCCGCCCTCTGCATTGGAGGGCCGGCTGTGCAGGCAGAAGGCCCCGAGCCGCTCACCAGACTTTGCAGCCCTGCCCCGGCCCCGCCCTGCAGACACGGACCACCCCCCGGCAGCCACACCAGCTGTCACGCACACCCAACCCTTGCCCTGGCTGAGGGGTCAGGGGGCCCCGACGCAAAAAAGGGGTGGCAGCAGTGGGCCCAGCGGGCGCCCCCACGACGCTCCCTCGCGGAGTCCGGTGGGCCTCCAGGCTCCCCACGGGGGGGAGGCCTGGGGAGGGAGGCTCTGCTGGCCGGCCCTGCCCTGAGCCCCTCCTACCCGAGGCAACCCGAGTCCCTCTCCCAGCACAGTGCTGACGTCCCAAAGCCGCCGGGGAGCAAGGACAGCGTCCACCACCTCCCTGGCCCCTCACTGCCCCCGGCTGCACGGCCCACACAGCATCCACTCCCTGGCCACGGCACCCTGAGCCCGCCTGGTCAGCCCCTTCCTCGGCCTCTGCCCCCGCTCCTGCTCAGCACGCCCCAGGAAGCCTTCCCTGCCTCAGTGGGCCCAGAGCCCCATGGCACTGGACTGCACTGCCCACCCACCCCACCCCTAGGACACGAGCTCTGGGAGACACAGGCTCTGGGGGCTCTGTCTCTGAGTGAGGGCCCAGCACAGAGCAGGGGGCGTGGGGGACGGGCGGCAGGTGGAGGATGGTTGCGGCGCCCACTTCCTGCTGGACCCAGGCCGGGCCAGGGGCTCAGGTCGCAGTTGTGTGTCCCCAGAGCCCGCCTGATGCCCGCCTCAAGCAAACAAGGGTCAGATATTGGTCCTCACTGCCCCGGAGCCAGCTGATAAATCCCAAGCAGCAAGGCCCCACCAACTCCAGACCCACGCCCGGCCAAGGGAAGACAGGGAGCGACACCCTGCCCAGCAGGGTGCCCTCTGCATGGCCCCGGCCTCCAGGACAGGGCAGCCGGTGCCGCACACCAGGTGTGGGGAGCCGCAGCCCCGCCGGCGCCCACGGCAGCGAGACCCGCCCCTGGGAGCCGCTCGCCCCTCACCCCTGCCCTCTCGCTCGCTGAGCCGTGGGCAGAGACCCGGGACACAGCCTCGGTGGGGGTGCAGACTGGGGCAGGCAAGGCTGACCGCCCTGGGCGCGCGGCCCGTGCCCCCTCCTCTCCCCTCCCCCACAGCAGTTGGCCTGGGCGCAGAGAAGACCCTGCAGGCCTGCCCCTCTGGCGCGGGCAGGGGCGGAGGGCTGTGCCCTCACACTGACTTACTTGGTGCCGGCTGGCTCCAGCGAGGAGCTCACTGGCCACCTCTGTGTGCGAGGACGCAGCCTCTAGGCCGGCTTCAATACTATCTGCAAATCAAGACAACACAAGCAATTACAGAGAGGAGACCCTGTGGTCACCCGGGGCGGGGGCGGGGGGAGGCACCAACGGGGAGTCCGGCCTCCAGAGGTCAGAGGCTGTGGGGATGGACACTGCTCACCCGCCCGGCGTGGGCCCTGGCCCACCTGAGTGTCAGGGCAGAGACCCTGGCACTGTCTGTCCTCGGGGCCTGGCAGCCCCTCAGAACGGCTGAGTCCAGCCCGGGAACAGCTCTGCACACAGAGAGCTGCCGTGAAGACGGCTGTCGGGGTCTGGAAATACCACCGCCCCCGCCACGACATCAACACGTGCCGGCCGCCGGCGTCCCCGCACCAAGCAGCTGGTTCTGACGACCGTGCGGGTCCGAGTGGGGACCAGGGGCTTCAGGCAGGGGCCTGCTGGGCATGTCGGCAGAGCCCCCAAGATGTCACCCCAGCAGCAGAGCTGAGCCACCCTGGGACACCAGAAGACACCCCTCCGCGGCACCGGGGGTGAAAGAGCGGTTTCACATGAAGCGCCCGCGAGTCCACCCCGCCCCACGACGGTGCACGGCCAGGCTGGTGGGCACAGGGAGGGGCGAATCAGGGCTGGGGCCCTCAACGCGGGAGGAACAGGGCTGGAACCCCCAGGAGCACCAGGGCGACTCTCTACGCTGTTTCCTCTCCCCCTGAAAAGAAGGACCCAGACAAGCGAGCAGAGACCACAGCTGTGGGCATAGCCCTCAGGAGAGACCAGCTGGAGCTCTGTGGGCTGACCCGTCAGACGCAAACACGCATCAAGCCAACTCTCAGGAAGAGAGGACGAGCCTCTGAATTCACGCATTTTGGTGAAAACTCAGAGGTAAAAATGGCTACATGCAAACATCTCCCCTGATGCTGGCAAAGACTGAAGGTGGGAGGAGAAGGGGACGACAGAGGATGAGATGGTTGGATGGCCTCACCGACTTGATGGGCAGGAGTTTGAGTAAGCTCCAGGAGTTGGTGATGGACAGGGAAGCCTGGCGTGCTGTAGTCCATGGGGCCACAAACAGTTGGACACCACTAAGCGACTGAAATGAACACACCTCCCTCGACCCAAACACATGCGCCTGGGCACTGCCCAGGGCTTGAGGCAGAGACGGCGCCCATAAACGCAGGTGTGGCCCGGGCACTAAGGGTCCAGTCAGCAGCTGGCTGCCCCGAGGGGTGAGAGCCTGGGAGTCACGGGGGACGGGGACAGGGTACCACCAAACCAGGGTGGGTGGGACGTCTGGGCTGAGCTGGGCCTCATCATGGTGGAACTTGCAGAACCAAGCGTCACGCACTGGGGCCACCAGAATCAACACAGCCACCGAGCTCCTGCCTCGCTCCTAAGCTGGGGGCCGGCAGATGGGTCTGAGCAGCCGGCACCCCCTGCCAGCTCCCCTGGGCCTTAGAGTGTGCCCATCTGCAGCATGCCAAAGCCGGGTCTGGCTCTGCCGGTAGAAGAGGCGGCCTGCCCATGACTAAAAGGCAGGCCCTGCCCCATCGTCCAGGCCCATGACTTAGTCCAGCCCAGAGCACAGCCGTGTCCTGGATCTGTGTGCATCTCTGACCTGCCCCCGCCTGTTCGGTGAAGACCCCCCAAAAGGTCCGCTGGGGCCTCTGCTGGGGTGTCGACGGCCCCTGCTGTCCCTGCAGGCCGTCCTGCCATCTGCTCGGCAGCCCTCAGGATGTAATTGGTCCTGTTTCCAGCTTCTCCCTAAAGTCCTTCCAGCAGCTCCCCAGGAAGGGGGGTGCGAGGGTCCGTGGGGCCCAGCTTCAAGCTGCGGGTGGAGCCGATGCTGCTGCGGCGCAGGGCGCTGTGACGGGCTTGCAGAGGCGTCTTGAGAGGAGGAGGACGAGGAGCAGGAGGAGGCGGCACTGGAGGTGGCGGCCAACACCCAGCCAGGCAGCCATCTTCCTTGCCAGGCTTAGGAGCGGCCGCAAAAGCGGCCGGCGGCGGGCCCAGGGCTCCGGGGTCAGCATGCCCTGGGAGGCAGAGGGCCCCTGACGCTCTCTGGCCTGGCCTGCGGCTGAGTGACACAGGCGAGGGGTGCCCCTCCCTGGCCTGGAGCCTCGGCCTCCCCATCTCGACGCAGAGCAGGCCTTGCTGGAGGGAGGCTCCGGGTGGGCTGTGGGGGGCCACTTACTTGGGAGGGGCTCGGCGGCATGGGCCTCCCCGGGGGTGTCCGGGGCCGCGAAGGTCTCGGCCACCATGCGCTCGACGGGCGTGAGGATGGCGGGGGCACGGGGGCGCTCGGCCAGCTTCCTGCGCACCACCCCGCGCAGGTCCCGCCACTTGTGCTTCACGTCGCCCAGGTCCCGGTGGCAATAGCCCAGCGCGTTCACCGCCTGCAGGATCTTGCTCCACACCCGGTGTTTGCGGGCGGGCGGGCCCCGCAGCGCCCCGAACAGCAGCGGGTAGTGGCGTGTCACCCTCTGCACCAGCACCTCTGTCTCCTGGGGGCTGAAGTTGGGCTTCCGTGTCTTGGTACGCGAGTGGGGGCCCGGCCTGGGCAGCAGGGCTGCCACAGCCGGCTCGGGGCTGGAGCTGCGCCCGCACAAGGCCTTGCCACTGCTGGACCCTAGAAAGGCACCAGAGGCTGAGGGCGGCGGGCTGGCCCCACTGCCCCCTATGGGGGGACGCGGGCCTCACCCACCGTCCGCCGTCCAGGGACACCCACACTGGCACGCAGCGGGGTCCCGGGCCGTGGCTACTCTGGACACTGGGGCCCACCACTCCAGCAGGCACGGCTCTGGAGGAGGTCAGTCCTCACCACGCCCCCTGCCCAGCAGAGAGCCCCTCCCCATCGGCCCATCACTGGGACCGAGTGACCATCTGGTGACCATCCAGGAAACAGCTGGGTGTCCATCCGGAGCATACAAAGGATTCTGCACACCCACCGTGACGGTCGCCCACAGAGGCGACAGAGAATGTGAGACAGGGAGGGTCCCAGGAGAGGTGCCCTGAGCTGGCACAGGTGATGCCCAGAGCTGCCCAGAGCAGGAGCAGGGTCCCGCGGGCACCCAGGCTTGAGACCAGGGAGGGGCTAGCAGGCAGCATGGCCCAACCCCCTCCTTCGCTCTGCTCCTGGGGGTGCAGCACATACGGGGGAGGGGGGCTGGGCCTCAGCACCGCCCCGGCCTCCAGGCCCCATTGAGGCGATGACTCAGCCTGAGAACAGGCTAGAGAGCGGTGTAGGGAGCCCTGGACCCCAGCCGGGAGCTGCCTGTTAACCATGTGGCTCTGGGCACTGGGAGCCGCCTCGCTCCTGAGGGCTGCGGGCTGTGGCCCAGCACCGCCCCGGGCACCTGGGCACGGGGGGAGGAGCAGGAGAGCCTTGCAGCCACATGGGCTGCACGGCTGGGCTGGTGGGGCGGGGGCCCTCGCGTGGCAGGAACGGGGCCACTGCAGGGGCAGGACGGCCCTCCCCGCGCAGCCAGCCCCTCCCCCCCACATGCTCCTGGGAGGAAGGCACAGGGTGAGGGGCAGGTGGCCCGGATGCTCCCGCGAGCAAGAGGAGGGGCCCACCCCTCGGGGCATCCCTAGGCTAGCCTTCCTGAGGGTCTGGGCTGAGCCCAAGGGGAGGGCCAGGAGGGCAGCCAGCAGAGGCTCGGACCGCCGGAACCTGCCCAGGCCCCACTGTCTGCCGGTCAGCCCTGCCAGACCGTGCCCACCCCTCCCTGGGGCAGCTGCCTGAAGGACTCTGGGGTCAAAGCCAGACACAGGGCCCCTGAGGACGGCCTGGGGCGGGCAGGGCAGGTGGCTTGGCAGATGCTGTGGGTACCCACCAATGGCTTCTCCTTGCTCCGAAACCATGCAGACCAAGTCCTTGATGATCTGGTTCACATCTAACAGGTCGCTCTGTGGAAGGAAGAGGACAGCCGTTAGGTCCCTGGAGCCCACGGTTCATAAGTCAAGGCCACATCCCTCAGCAGTGCTGACAGCCAAGAACCAGAAATGAGCCCAGGGTCACCCCTCAACTCAGAGACACTGCTGGGATCTGAAACACTGTCCCCCAACCCGAAGGTCAAAGCCCACGCTGAGCATCCCGGGGCTGTGAGCTCCCTCACTGGGTGCAGAGGACCTGGCGTTGGCCCCTGGAAGGTTGCAGTCTTCTGCAGGATGGTGTCCCCAACACTGACCTGCAGGCCTGGCTAGAGCAGAGAAGAGGGTACGCGGAGTGGGGGGCTCAGTATGCACCTCCCACAGCCCCCTCAGTCCTGTAGACACCTCACTCCTGTCCCCTCCTGCGGCTCCTTGACTGAGGGGCCGGCCTGCCCCTCTGTACACTCGGCACCCAGCATGGCCAGCACACAGGGGTGGCAGATGGTAGATGGATGGATAGTGGGTGGTGGATGGATGCTAAACTGGATGGGTAGATGAATGGAGAGATGAATAGTGGATGGGTGGATGGACAGATGGACGCACTGGATGGATAGTGCATGGATGGATGATGGTGGATGGAAGCGAAATAGATGGGTAAATGGCTGGATGGACAGAAGCATAGTGGATCATGGCCAGATGGATGGGAGGTGGTAGATGGATGGATGGACAGATGGATGTATTGTATAGATAATGGATGGATAGTGGATAGATGGATAGTGGATGGATGGATGGTGGATGAAAGCTAAATAGATGGGTAGATGGCTAGGTGGACAGAAGAATAGTGGATGGTGGATAGGTGGATGGCAGGTGGTGGATGGATGGAAGCCCCACTGTGGTCTGAAGACTGAGTAACTTCTTGAGGCTAGTGAGCAGGGTAAGAAGCAGAACTTGGTCCTGGAGACCCAGGTACCCCCCACCCTGCTTGTCATGCTGGCCGCGTGCATTCTCCCTGCCAGCCTCCTCTATCTTAACTCCACTCGCCCAACAAAGTGGAAGTGATGCTGATGAAGAATGTGAGCATGCCACTCACACAGCACACGCCTGGGGCTGTGCTGGGTGCAGAGGTTACAGGGGCTCAAGAAGGGCCGCTCAGAAAGGGGGAGGGTGGGGATTGGCACCAATGCCCGCTGACTTGAGTCCCTTCCCTGCAGGAGATGGTTCCTCCACTGGCCAGCCAGGTGACCCTGGACAAAGCCGTTCACCTAGGAGTCAAGTTCCCACACTTACCACCCAGCAAATCCAAGCCTCCTCCCCCAGTGCCAGGCGCATGGCCAGGGTAGAGCCAGGAGGGGAGGCCGCTCCACACCTCTGAGATGCGGGTGTCACATCCCTGCCCCTCCCCCATCCGCCACCCTGCAGCCCATCAGGACCCTGGATTCATTTCCACCAGGGTCATTTCACCCCACTGCTAAATATCGCAGGGAGATTCATTTTCTTTTTAGGAGTGTGCTGGGAAATGAAGCAATTAGCATGATCTTAAACCGACAAGTACTATCAATCGCAATTCAATTGCTGGGCTCACACACGGCAGAGGCGATGGCTCTGCAGGAACCAGGCCCACGGCCGGGAAGGTGGTGATGAGTGCAGGGCCTCGGGGCCTTGCTTCTGGGATCTGCATCCCCACGGCCCTCCCTGGACAAGGCTGCTGGTGGGAAGGCCGAGCTCAGGCGCAACCTGAAGGTCCAGACCCCAAGGTCACCAGTGACGGCCGCAGCCTCAGCCAGACCTCAGGGAGATAAGCCCACCTCCCCACTTTTCCAGGTCTCCGCCCCAAGGCCGCCAGACGGCCAGCCTCAACCTCAGCCACTGAGCCCGCACCATGGGCAGAAACCTGCGGGTCTGGAATCTGGCTGTGGGTGCGCTTGGACTTGGGGGCTCCGAGGGGCCTTTGTAGGCACTCAGTCTCCCCACGCTGCATGAGGTCACAGACAGGCAGGCAGGGAAGCTGGCACCAGAGGCAAAGGGGCTCTCCTGGGGCCCTCCTGCTCTCTGGGAGCAGGGCGGCCCCGGCAGTCCGGGCCCCTGATCGGTACCAGGGACAGTGGGCTCGCTCCCGGGAGGTCTCGTGCCCTAGCCACCAGCGAGCTCAACACGCGTGGGGTGGATCCCTCCCTCGGGCACAGGGACAGAGTCTCAGCGAAGGAGAGGACGGGATGGGTGGCTGAGCAGGAGCCACGAGCCCGGGCCCTTCAGGGGCCCAGGACCCCAGGCTGCCTGCCCGGGGTGGGGGGCCAGAAGTGAGAGCAGTGGCCACCGCTGTGGCCCGGCCCCAACGTGGACACACAGCTACTGTGGCGGGTGCTCCTTGTCCGAGCAGCACTGACCCCAAGAACCCGGAACCGCCTGGGTGGGACAGTGGGTCCCCAGTCCAGCTCCCTTCGGGGCTTCAGGAGAGACCTCCCACTTCAGGAGACACAGTGGCCAAGGCTAATCTCTAACTACTGCAAATGCACAGGGGCCGCCCCCTCTAGGGACACTGCCCACATCACGTTTTTGTAGCAAGCAGCCCCGCGAACACAGTCAGGGCTGTAGCTGCGGACGGCGGCCAGGAGCTGGTGCTGGCCCGGCCATCTGGGGCCAGGGGTCGCTCCCAGGCCTCTGTCACCCGCCCTCCATGCCCGGAGGCACGTGCACGGGGTCTGTCTGGAGCCAGGCGGCCGCTGCCAGGGTGCCTGCTGCTCTTGGCTGGCCCGGTCTGCCGGTGTGAGCCGAAATGCCCCCAGCACCCCAGGAGCACAGAGTAGCCGCACCGGGGGGACCTCGTGTGGGTGACCCCCCCGCCCCCCTGGACAGGGCGCCAAGGGCACCGCATCCTGTCTCCAGAAGGTCATCATCAGAGACCGCCGCCAGGGAGGTCTCCATTCACCAGCCTCTTGGACATGGACATGACCTTTGACACTGGCACCCTTCTTGGTTCCCGGCGCCCCTCTTTGGAGAAGGGAATGGCAACCCACTCCAGTATTCTTGCCTGGAGAATCCCAGCCTGGCGGGCTACAGTTCATGGGATCGCAGGAGTCAGACACAACTTAGCATTATCTTTATCTTTTCTTTTCTTTCCCTCTTTTGAAGATGCCGAAGACTCCGATGCTGACTTTGCCCACCTCTGAGCTGACACTGAGGAGCATTGCGGCCCCATGTCCCCGGGAGACCGTCCCGAGGCCCCGCTTCACCCTTAGGCCCGTGACCCTCTGAGTCGTCCAGGGATGAACCAACCACCCGCTGGAACAGAAGCTCAGGCCACCTTGGAGGGAATAAGGGGAGTGGGGGTGTCCCAGGGCCCTGGGCTACAGCCCATCTCCACCAGCCTGGTGGCCGAGGGAGCAAGGGCAGACTCGGGGGACATTGCCCTAGCACCAGGCTGACCCACGGGCACACCTGAGGCCTGACCCCCGACCTTGAGCCACTGTGAGGGGGTCAGCAGGGGGCACCCTCCAGGCAGAGCAGGACAGACTGTGGGGAGAGGGTGGCAGGCAAGCCTGGGGTCAGACCCCTCCGGGATCCCCAGGCAGCAGCCTCCAAGGTGATCTCAGAGACGATCAGGCTGGCTCCAGGGCGCTGCTCAGGGATGGGAGTTCAGGGTCCCAGCTCCCAGGCAGATCAACCTGTGGGCACACAGCCCCTGCCCTCTGGGAGGTCTGGGGCAGGAAGCCCTACCAGGATGGCCCAGTAGTAGAGAGCCGGCATCGGAGGTCCAGGAGCCATGGTCCCACCCCCAGCCCCGGGCCCTCTGCCCGTGGAGGCCCTCCTCGGCCCACAGCTCCCCCCCCACCAAACCACTCCTGGAGCCCGGGGCGTGCTAGTCAGGAGAGCTGATTGTGGGCACGAGGGGGAGCGGCAGCGTCAGGACACAGGCAACCAGCCGGGATGGACAGTCACCGTGCTGGGCACCTGAGCAGGCTCGGCTCCTGATGGAGGGTGCTGAGACAAAGTGTGGACATGCCAGAGCCCGACCCAGGAGCCAGGCGGAAGGCCAGGCCTCAGGCCCGTGGACTGAGCTCAAGGCCAGGCAGGTCACGGGGGGCCATGCTGGGAGCCCAGAAGCCCCCAGAGCTGCCAGGATGGAGCCCCCAGGGGCAGCCCCAGCTGTGGTGCATGATTGTGGCAGGGACTGGGAGCTGTGTGCCCAGGCGTGGGCACCAGGGAGCGGGAGAGACGAAAAAAACACCTTAACTTAGTAAATGTTTAAATCATGCAATTATTACCCTGATTGCTTCTAAAACTAGAACTCATTAAAAGCTCTCACGGAATCTTCTCTCTTCTTTGACTGGCACTGAGGAATAACAGCCTTGCACAGGACATAATAAAACCTCGGTGCACGCGTCTGTGTGCGCGTGTGTGTTCCCTCCACTCTTAACTACGAAAGGAGAGAAAATACCGCTGCATTTTTCTCTACCACGCAATCTCTTCTCATAATTAGGATCTTGGCAACCATCCACCTACAGAGACGACTGTTCCAGCTAATGGAACAGCCAAACTTTGTTTATTGATTGATTCCCATATTTATAGCTAGACATTGGCCAGATCAACCTCCCCCTGGGGTTTGGCTTTACCACGCCAGGCCCCCTCCTCACCCCAGCCCCCTCCCTCCTCAGCCTGCCAGGTAGCCATGGCAACAGAGCAGCTGGTGGGTCAGGTGACACAGCAGCCCAGGAGGGGGGCAGGGGCGCCAGGCCTCACAGGTGAGCTCAGGTGCAACGGGTGGGGCAGAGGGGGCTGGGGCAGTGCGTGCCGTGGGCAGACCCTACTGGGAGCCCACAGGTGACTCTGGTCCGCCCCAGGTGGACCTCAGCAAGTCTGCTACACCCTGGCAGTGGCTGGGGGCACACGCCCATCTCATTCAACCTCCTCCTACCCCTAGGGAGACCCGGCCCTGCCCTGTCCTCCGAGAGCAAGAAGCTCCCGTGACCAGAGCTGAGTGACGGTGGGAGGCAGAGCTGGGCCTCGCGGGCGTGCTCCTGGGCTCTGGGCTCCGCACAGGCAGCCTCGGGGCCCTGCCGCACCCTCCGCCAGGAAGGGACAGCAGAGCACCGCTGTCAGGACGGGCCTGCTCTCAAGCCGGGCGCTGGCCACAGTCCCGGCTCTGCCTCACACAAGCTGCCGGGGCCCGGCCAAGTGAAGCGCCCGCTCCCAGCCTCCAGCTCGGCTTCAGTAAATGTGGAGCACGGGGGTGCTTGCACTACCAGACTTCTGTGTGGGCTGCAGATGCACATACATACAGGCAGCAGAGCCCTCTTATTAAAACACAAATCTTCTGTGGAGTCCCAACACGCGAAGCTTCTCATCCATTCAGCTGCCACCCACCCACCCTCATCCATCCACCCACCCCTCCCCCATCCTCTCCAGCTAGCCATCTAAACCCCATCATCCACCCCCACCATCCATCCCCCACCATCCATCCATCCACACCCTCACCATCCATCTATCCACATCCACCAACCATCATCCACCCCCACCATCCATCCCCCACCATCCATCCATCCCCCATCCATCTGCACCCCTACCATCCATCCATCCACACCTCCCCCATCCATCCCCCATCCATCCACCCTTACCATCCATCTAACCCCCATCCTCACCCACCCCCAACCACCATCCACCCCCACCATCCATCCATCCATCCCCCATCCATCCATCCACACCCCCCAACCATCATCCACCCCTACAATCCATCCATCCACACCTCCTCCATCCACACCCCCACCATCCATCCATCCATCCCCCATCCTTCCACACCCCCACCATCCATCCTTCCACACCCCCATCCATCCATCCATCCCCCATCCATCCACACCCCCACCATCCATCCCTCTCTCCCCACCAGCCCTTCGATCTGTCTGTCCCAGAGAAAAGCACTGAGTGCCCAGACAGAACCAGGCAGCCTGCAGGAGCAGGAACATAGCCAGACTAAGATAGACAACACCCCTGCCTCCATGGGGCTTACAATCTCCTGCAGGAGAAGGAATAGTAACAAGATAATTAATTAAACAGCATGCTAGACAATGCAGAGAAGTGAAACTTTAGATATGGACCAACTGAGCCAAAACCTGAAGATAAAAAGGAACAAGTTGCTGACGTATCGGCAGGGTCCAGGCTCGGGGGGGCGGGCGGGGGAGGAGGGACGCACTGGCCAGGTCCTGGCCCTGTGACCTCGGCCCCACTGTGGGGGGAGGGAGACAAGGGAGCCCACTTAGGGGGCAGCAAAAAGCCCAGGTCTGAGAGGGGGGCCACACCGCCCCAGGGCTGGAGAAGGCCCGGGAAGATGTGCCCGAGAGCCAGCCAGAGGGCAGCAGGAGTACGGGGCCGTGTGGGGCCAGCAGAGTGGGGGGCAGCCTTCCAGAGATGGAGCAGGGGTCACATGTTAGCATCTGACCAACAGCAAGTGTGCTGAAGGCCCATGAAGTGAGCCGGCTGCCACTGTGGGGACACTGGGCAAGCCGCTGGCCAGAGGGGTCCTTCCCCCCCAGGAGAAGGCCATTCTGGAGGCCCTGTTCCCGCTCTCTGGGAGGGTAGTCTCCTCCTGGGGAAGGGGACCCGCAGGCACACCCCTGCCCCTTGGGAGCGGCCCACCCTGTCTCCCAGTCCTCAGCCCGGCCTAAGTTGCAGGGCTCACCACAGTGGACCAGGGATGCCCCACTTTGTGTGCCAAGCACCCCCAGCCTGCAACCTGAGTGTCCCCCAGGGGCACCGATACCCTGACCCTCAGGGCCATGGGAGTTTTGGGGTCCGAGTGCTGACCCACCTTGGACCAGCGTCAGGGAGGGGCCCTCAGGTGGGAGGCCAGAGATCAGCTGAATCAGGGCAGGAAGGAGGAGCCCTAGAGGCACCCCAGAGTGTACTGTGAGCACCCTACCGTTGGAGCGACCCACTCGCAGGCCTGGCTCCTGCAGTCTACGAGCTCCCCTCGGCCTGGCACAGGAGCCCAGGGCAGGGGCTGGGGGGTCTGCGGGGCAAGAGGGAAGAGGGCGGTGGGGGCATCTCATCCACCCACAGACAGAGAGCCCCCAGGGGGCCTCAGAGGACACTTGGTGCTGCCAGGGGATGGGCTGCCCTGGGAGGTTGCATGGAGGTCCTCAAGGTGCCCATCTCCTCAAATAGCAAGACATCCTCATCTGAAACCTAACCATGCACGTCCAGGGGCCACTGAGCCAGGCAAGGGCCCAGAATCAACAGAGGCCCCAGAAGCCCTCAGTCTCCTGCCCACTCACCACCTGACCCCTGGCCGGCAAGCCCAGGTGCTCTGACCCACCCATTTCACAGAAGCAATGACTGAGGTGAGGAGCAAGCCCCAGGTCACCAGCCGGCTAGCGGAGACTTGGATCTAAAGTCAGGACTCAGTTTCCCCGTCTGTCCACACCCCCACCGCCCAGCCAACAGGGAGGTCCCTGAGGGAAGCCCAGGGCCTCAAAGGGGCTCTGGGACTACAGGTCTCCCCCCGTCCGGTGACGCTGTGCGTGCATAAACCACGTGCATACAACGCCCCCCGGGAACTTGGGGGCAGAGTGGGTGCAGTAAGCAGTTTCCACGTGGAACACTCTGCAGCAGCCAGGGAGAGGAATGCCCCACGTGTTGTCCTGAGGCTGCTCCCTCAGCCCCTCCCCAGAGCTCTGCCCACCCACGGCAGCTTGGCCCTGCAGACCCGGGAGGACAACCCCTGAGTAACCTGGGCAGTGGGGCTCAGGCGCCCCTGGAGGGGCTGGGGGCCGCCACCCGCCCGGGACAGGTCTCTGCTGCCATAGGCAGGCGCGGGGCCGGCTAGTCTCCGCCCAGGCCCACGCTGGTATCAGGACAGCTGCAAACCTGGGGGAGGGCTGAGTGATGGCCAATGACAATCTGTCCGTTTTTCCCATTTCCAAAGATGACGGTAAGGAGGGAAGGAGGGAGGGAGGGGAGGGGAGGAGGCCAGGGGTGCTGACCCCGACCCCAGCCCATCACCCTCCAGCCGACACCTGCTGCATACCCCGTCACCCACACACAGGTGAGGACACAGCAGAACAGCGAGGCTGGCCTCAGGTCCTGTCCACGGCCCTCATGAACCCGCCATACTCACCGCTCAGAGAAGGACAGCGCCTGGGCCTCCCTAACCCCACCCCGGGGTCCCCTCCTGCAGCATGTCAGCCATGAGAGGCCATCAAGGCACAGGCCAACACCCTGAGCAAACCAACCCCATGGCCCGTTGGGGCTTGGATCTCAGAGTAGAGCCCCTGCTCAGGAGCTCCCCACGTTTCTGGGGGGTCACCCTACCCACCTGGGTCCCCAAGCTGGGCCCTGCAGTGGAGTCTGCACCTGTGAGCCCTGCACGCCAGGCTAAGGCCATGTCAACCCTGGAGCCCCTCATCCCACCAAGACAGGCGGCCTGACCGCTGTGCGCCTGAGGGTCCTCCTAAGAGAGCTTCAGTTCTGGAGCTGAAGCAGCAGCGGGTCTCTCCCGCCACAGGCCTGCCAGCCCCCTGAGCTGTGAGGGCAGCCCAGAGCTCAGCCCCCTGAGCTCTCGGGAGAAGCGGGCCCCGCGTGCCAGCAGCAGGGAAGAACATCCGTGTGTCCCCGGTCCTTCCTGGACCAGCTCGGCAAGGAGGAAAGGCCTGTCTCCCGAGACGGCCCGTGCGCCTTCCTTGCAGGCTCTGCCGGGCAGAGTGGGGACGGGGGTGGCAGTAAGGGGGCGTCCACCGCCCTCAGGAGTGCAGACCTGCCCACTGTGGACACAGTGACGGGTCCTCAGCCAGTGACTCAGGTTTTCAGCCCAAGTTCCCGTTTTTCTAAAAGAAGCTGCTTGAGGGAAACTTGGTTCCAGAAATGCAGCTCCTGGGGGCTGGGGGCAGACAGGCCCCCAGTACCTTCTCCTGCAGGTAAAACCGAGGCCCAGAGGGAAGAGTGAACCCACACTCAGGGGCTCGGGGCCACCACCAAGAGAACCAAGCACCCCAAGAGCCACATCCTAATAAACGCACTTCCCACAACAGGAGACAGGCCCTGGTGCACACTCACCTGCACGTCCTCATACACTCGCACACCCACTCAGGGGCCTGCACGCCTTCGGCAGCTGTCACAGACCACACCTGGCTAGGGAAATGTCTGGCAGCATGTATTACACACGTGCAAACTAGGGGGAAAAACAAGCGGCCCCCTGCCCCAACTCGCGCATGTATGCACGCAGCCGCACCTCAATCTGCAGGATGGCCTCCTCGCGCAGCCGGATGGCCTCCAGGTCCTCCTCGGTGATCTCAGGAAGCAGCGCCTGCTCGTGGCCCGGCCACACACCATCGCCCCCATTGAAGATCTTATCGTCAGCCAGCTCAGCAAAGGCGGCCTGGGGGCTCTGCCGAGACACAGACCACCGTTACCACACAGCCTACTGCTGCCGGGCCAGGCCTGCACCGGGCACCCGGAGCCCCCAGCCAGGCCCTGCAGGGGCCAGGCCCCAGCCTTGTCAGTTGGGGCTGCCCCACAGGGCCACGGGTGCTGGGGTCCCTGTGATGGGGGGCAGACACCGGGCCCTGTCTGCAGCCTGAGCACCCAGCTCAGGCGGTCCCAGGCCTGGCTGCAGTGGGCCCCAGCAGGGTGGGCCTGCGCCCCACGGTCACAGGGGGCGTGTCCACATGCAGCTGTCCTCCTCCCAGAGCCAGCGCGCTCCCTCCAGACCACGTGTTCACCTCATCCCCAGAGCCAGGGAGGCCTTTACATAAATAAACACGTGGATGGATTGATATAAAAGATCTAAAAACTCTGTTGACGAGCGCTCCTCGTCCAAGGTGGCAATTATCACCTCCCTTCCCACTGTGGGCGGAGGAAGCGAGTGGTGCCAGGCGGGCAGCAGCAGGCGGGGGCTGGCCGGGGCCAGGCCGCGTGCCCGCACCGCCTCCTCTCTGTGGCCCCAGGCCCACCTGGGCTGTGGGGCGCATCAGGTCAGGCCCAGAAGCGGCCCCACCGGAGGCTCAGGCCCGTTGCACGCACTCAGCCTCGGCCTTCTCCTCTGCCAGACGGGAACAGCGAGCGACCCACACCCGCGATCCGCGGCCTATGTCCACCGCGGGGCTGTGCTCTCCGCCCACCCCACCCCTGCCGGGCACACCCGCACTCCCCGCAGGAGGAATGGCACCTGGGGCCCCTCACAGACGGCCCGCCCTAGGCCCCCGAGGCGAGGGGACTGGGAGAGCTCAGCTCTGCTGACAGCTATGTGACCTAGCACGTTCCTAACTTCTCCCACCCCAGCCTCCAAGTCCATGTGATGGGGCTGTGTCCAGAGCCATGGACAGGGTGGACGGGGATGAGAGCAAGGCCCTGACCGGGAAGCACGTGTGAAAGCCCCAGTCAGGGGCCATGGGGCACCGGAAGTCCCCATGTGAGTGAGTCATGGGGCATGGGGGGGGTGCCCTGTGCCTGCAGGGGATCCCAAAGGTACCACCCTCCCTGCAGCAGAGGCTGCTCCAAAACAGAGCACCTGGCCCTAAGCTCCACTGATTCCACTGGCCCGGGGCACCTCCCGCGGGAAGAGCCCAGGCCATGCACCTGGGGACTGAGGCGCGGACACACCCTCTGCAGCCCTGCTGGGAGCACAACCAGGAGCACAGGAGAGCCAGTGACAGTGACTCAGACGCACAACGTGAGCAAGTGCACAGGTGCCACGTTTGGCCACCTGGAGTCTGGTTTCAGAGAAGGCCCCAGAAAGCGAGAAGAAAGGGGCCCAGCCTCCCTGCAGGCGTGGGCGCGTGCCCTGGCTCCCACAGTATGGCTCGCCCTCCCCAAGTGGCTCAGGACAAGGCACCATGGAGGGAGAGGCAGCTGGCCCCGCCTAGCCCCCTCCTGAACGGATCAGAAAGCATCGTCTTCTCACAAAGCCTCGCTCTGGGTCTTGAGCTCCGAAGCCGGGATAAGGGTTTGCTGGCAGGGCGCTGGGGCCACAGCGCAGGACGCAGGCAAGGGATGGTTTTCCAGCTCGCCGGGCAGCCAACAAAGGCAGCTTTCTCTTTGCTCCAAGGCCAAGGGCTTGGGTCCTGCTCCAACATGTCCGTTTCATGCCCACGATCCAACAATCCAACGTGACTGCTGGGTGGCGGTGGGGGGGTGGGGGGAGGCAAGCAGTTTCCCGTGAGAAGAGATGGAGCCCAGTGAGCAGGCAGGCAGGACCCAGGGCTCTCAGGGACTCTGGGAAACGGGCCACAGTCTCGCAAACTCTGACCCAGGGCTCCGTGTGGGAGTATCTGTGACCTGGGTGGGAGGGCAGGGGTCAGGATGAGAGCCGGTCTCACTCTTGGGAAACACAGCTTCTGTGCAGCAGCCCCGAGTCTGGTCGTCCATCCCTCCAAACAGCAAAGGCTGTGGTCAGTTGATGGACATCTCTGGGAGCTCTGCAAAGCCCGGAACAAAGGACTGGCAAGACGCTCCAACCCTCCCCTGGCCCCATGGTAAGTAATGGAGCCGCCGCTGGGGGGGTGGCTCTGAGAGGGACACACGACTAAGGACGCCCCCACAGATGTCCAGGTGAGACACGGGGATGGGGCTCCAGGGACCTCACGCTGCTAACGCTGGCGCAGCACGCTGGAGCATGCTCCCGGCATGGGGCAGGCTCCGCCCTGCCTGGGGACAGCAGCCGGCCCAGAGGCCCCCGGGCGCTGCCCACTGGCTGGGCCTGACCCGGGTTGGAGGCTGAGCCAGGACCCAGTTGAGGCAGCGGCCAACACAGCCAAGGAGGTGGACCTGCTCCCAGCCACACCGGCACTCAGCTTGGAGAACAGGTGGGCACCCTGGCTCCTGCCAGGACAACCAGCCTGCAGATGGCAGCCCCAAACTCAAGCATCAGCGTAGCAGCATCCCCAGGCTGAATCTGCAGTGTCAGCTCACCAACTACAGGCTGCGAAATTCCTGGAAATCACCTTTCATAACTTCTCGGAAGCACTGCTGGCCATTCTCTTCCCCTTTAGGAAACATTCTACTGAAATAGGGCATGAGCAGTTGAATGCACAAATCACACGTGGACAGGTCTGTGAGCCGTAACAAAAGGAAGACTTCCGGGTCAAGATACGGACATTCCGGGCCCCTACTCATGACGCTGCCCCCAAGCAAGGACTGTCTGGCTTCCCACTCTTGTTGGTTCGGCCCAGTTTGGACCTCTGTGCTCTTTGCGCTCAGCGTGTGTCTGAGGTGTCACCAGGCCTTGCTGGCCACAGACGATCCCTTCTGCTGCCAGTCTTCCATGCACAGATTCAGCACAAATGCTCTAGGCTGGCCGTCCCCTAGGTGTCAGCTGCTGTGTGTTGTGCTGTGTTCAGCGTTCTTTGACGTGACTTTCCAGTGGGTACACACCTGGGAGGAGCTGCAAGGCCAAGGCAGGAAGACCTTTCACTCCACAAACATGTTCAGCAACCAGAGTAGGGGCCCCACGCACACTCCCGGCTAGCGCGTGAGATCTCCAGCTGCCCCACAGCTTCCCTGGCATGTGGCTACTTCCCGAGTTTTCACCTGCTCTTTTCAGTTGTGTTGGTGGGTGCAAGGTGTGCAGAGATGGAGCACCGTGGGTTCACTCTGCTTCCAACGACACGCTGAGATCACATCCATGTGCTCACCAACCATTCCAATGTACCCATCCAAGGTGTTTGCCCTTTTATGTTTCTGAACTGTCTGCATTTATCGTATGTAGGAGACAAGATATGCAGCCATCTGCACTCATGATTCGTAACAGATCTCTACATGTTGTGGATGTAAGTCCTTTTCAGATATGCATTGTGCAAATGCCTTTGCTCACTCTGAGGGTCACCTCTTCACTCTCAGGGGTGTACAGACTTTAACAAATGTCAAGTTTACCCTTTTCTTTACAGCAAGTGCATTTTCATCTGTGCGGGAGGATGACAGCCTCCAAGGGCAGCTTGCAGACACTTCCCTGCCTTACTGTTCACATCCAGATCTGTGATCCCGGCGAGCATTCTGAGCTGGGCGAGCTGAGGGGAAGGATCTGCAGGGGGTGGCAGCCTGGTGCCCAAAGTCCTCCAGTCCCTTTCCAGGCACAGAGCAATGGCCCTGGCCTGGAAGGTCCACATGGCCTGAGCCGGCTGCCGCCTGTGTACATGTCTTGTCCTGCACGCTGCTCCCCAGCAGCTCCGACATGGACACCAGCGGGCAGCGTGTTTGGACCTGGACTTGCCGTGTGCCCAACAGGACCTGTCCCAGCTCAGCCATCCGCCGATCAGCATCAAGCCCTGAGCAGATCTGCATTTCCCACCATGTGGCGGTGCACCGCCCACCACCCAGGCAACCATGTATGTATGGGTCTGTGTCTACAGGCAGCTCTGCTCCCACGGGTCTGTTGGCTTAGCCGTCAGCAGATACCACGCTGTTTTAATACCTATAGCTCTATATTGTGTTCTGATACCTGGTAGTGTAAATCCTCCAGTTTCGTTCTTCAAAACTGTCTTCATTATTTGGGGCCCTTTATATTTCCATATACATTTTGTAATCAGCTTGACAATTTAAACACACATTCAAAACCTGCTAGGATTTTTATCTGGATTGTATTGAACGTATAGAACCATTCAGTGAGAACTGACTTCTTTTTTTTTAACTGACTTCTTTATATATCAAATTTTCCAATCTACAAATACAGCATGCCCCTTAATTATTTAATCTTCTGTAATCTCTCTTCAGTAATGTTTTGTAGTTTTCTATACAGAGGCTTCAACAACTGGTCATAGATTTCTTCCTAGTTTTGATGCTATGATAAGTGCTATCTCTTTTTAGCATTATTTCCGAATTGTCTTTTGCTGGCACCAACAATGTTTTCTTGCACATTAACATGGTAACAGAAATCCTGTTACATTCACTTATTAATACTAAGTTTTGCCAGATTCATTCAGATTTTCTAGTTATACAATCATGTTGTCTGTGAGAGGATTTCTTCCCGGTTTCTACACCTTTTATTTCTTTCTCCAGTCTTACTGCAGTGGATATTCCCCACAGTACAATGGAGAACAGAAGCAATAGTCCTGGACACCATATCACATCCTCACTCTCAGGAGAAAAGATTTTAATACCTCACCAGTAAGTGTGCTGCTGACTGCTGGACTTTTGAAGATACCCTTCATCAGATTAAAGGCATTCCTATCTAGTCCTCATTTGTGAAAAATTTGGCATCTCCCTAAGTGGATGTTGAATTTTACCAAATGCTCTTCCATGTCTATTGAGATGATCAAGTAGATATTCTTACTTACTGTATTAACATGATAAATTATTCTGATTATTTCTGAATGTAAACCAATCTTGCACTCCTAGAATAAATCCCATTTTAGAATGGTGTACTATCTTTCTATACATTGCTAGACTTAAGTTTATCAGTATTTTGGTTAGGGGACTTCCCTGGTGACCCAATGTCTAAGACTCCATGCTGCCAATGCGGTGGGCCTGGGATCAATCTCTGGTCAAGGAACTAGATCCCACACGCCACAGCTACGACCAGTGTAGCCAAATAGAGAATTTTTTTTAATATTTTAGTTAGAGGAGTCTTTGCTTCTAAGCTTATAAGACATCTTGTTATTTTCTTTTTTGCAAAGTCCTCATAAGAATTTGGAATTAAAATTTACTAGCCTCATAAAGCAAGGTGAGAGGTATTTTCTTTTTATATTCTATGTAAGTGTTTGTGTAAACTGGTATTATTTATTCCTCAAATATTTGAGAGAATTCATCACTAAAGCCATCTGGTCTGAAATTTCATTGCTAGAATGTTTTTAAATTATGGATTCCGTTTCTTTAATAAATACTACACTTTCCAGATTTTTTACACATCTTGATAAGTTACATTTTTCTTTAAAAATTTGTATGTAAGTTGTTAAACTGATAGACATAAAGTTGTTCACAGTATCTTATTACTTTTTTCATTTTTAGAAGCTTTAACAATATATGTATTTTCATTCTTGATACTAGTAATTTAGAACTTTATTTTATTACTCATTGTAAAGAATCAACTTTTGGCTTTGTTGAATTGGTCTATTGTGCATCTATTTTATATTTCATTGATTTCTGCTTTTTCCTATGTATTTTCTTTGGATTTAACTTTTTGTTGTTATTCTAGCTACTTGAGATTGGGATCACTGGTTTTCACACTTCCTTTCTCATGTACGTATTTAAATCTGTGAATACTGTGCTGCACAGTAAGACCTTGGTCATTCCTGCCCTTCCCTGGAGTCCCAAGGGCACGGATCCCATGCTGTCCCGACGCCCGCTGACTGCAGGAAACGCTCAGCACCTACCTGCTGCTTGCCACCCCTCTGCGCAGTGGGAAGCAGCGCTCTGGACTTCTCTGCAATTTTCTGTGGGATAAAGTACAAGAGGAGGAAGGTGGGGAGGACAGAAAAAGTGGGGACGAGAGAAGAAATGGTCAGATAAACACGAAGTTCTGGACAACGAGCAACAGCAAAGCACATCTTCAGCTCCGAGAGAACGGAGCTGCCCGAAGACTCTGGAAATCTGGGAGCCTGGCTGGGCGTCCCTGGGGACAATCTGCTGGACGGTCTCTTCCCACACACTCGGGCGGGGGTGCAGGGACAGAGACACCTGTCCTCCCACCTCCAGGGGGCTCTTGCGAGGACCCTCTGGGGCAGCACTCCAGAGGAAAACGTCCCTCACTGCACACATACTGAGGTCACACCAGCCAGGTCCTGGCGACCGTCAAAGGTCTGCAAGGCGGCCCCCCCTTGCTTTGAGGAATGGGACTGTCCCAGGCTGGCCCAGGGTGGGTGCTCAAGGCACCTGCGGGGGACTCACCTTCTGCACCACTCCATAGCGCTGGACGGCATCTGACAGCTGAGTTTTCAGGCGGTCTAGCTGAAGACGCTCCTGCTGCAGAGACAGTGGAGCTTCAACAGTCAGCCAAGGCCGCATCCTGTCCCTGCCACACCTCCATCCCTGGGCACGCTCCTGGGCTCCTCCCGGCCCGCCTGGCACCTGCACCACATCCGGCCCCAGCCTCGCAGACATCTCTATTCCCTCCGTCATTAGAGCTGGGCTCACCCCACCTACTTTACCACCACCTCCATCCCCTCAAAGGCCAGCAAAGGCTCCGGGGGCACAGCCAGCATCGCCATGGACACCATCTCCACCCAATCCACACACACACACACACACACACACACGCCGTCTGCACTGACCACGAGGCCTGCAGCTCTCACGTGCTATGCCTGTCTGGTCCCCAGAACAAACCAGTCCGGGAAGAGGTGTTACGACCCCCACCTGACAGCTCAGGAGGTCTCAGGCCCAAGCTGAAGGTCACGTGGCGGGTGGAGCCAAGCCCTGAAGCACCTAACCGCAGGTGAGGCTGTGTCTCACACCCACATCAGAACTGCAGGCAGCAAACCGGCCATCCACCCCCCAGCACCTCGGCACTCACACACGGCCTCTGTCCTCCCGATGGAACGAGACCTCGTCTCCTGCTCACCTCTGCACCCAGTTTCAGAATGAAGCCTGGCAGAGCCAGTGCTCAGGACATACAGATGAACGAGGGAACAGGCAGGCAGGCCCTAGATCCTGGCACCGCTGGGCCACCAGGAGCCCCCACCTTCTTCTCAGCAGGCAGCATCGGTACCACCGGAGCCATGTCAGTCCCAGGCCCTGGGACGAGGACTCAGACACAGGCTCCCAGGTCCCTCCTGCCCCAGCGACTCCTATCAGCTCCTGGGAGGGCTGCGACACTCCCCAGGCCCTGCATCTCCAATCCCAAACCCAGCCTTCACCGTCACCACACACCCCACGTGAGCCCATGGGCAGGAAGGAGCTGCAGGGGCAGCAGCAGGCCAGCCGTGGTCGGTGAGACCAGCTCGGCAAGGCCTACCCTCTGAGGCGCGTGGCCTGGGGCCACCAGGCACCCACACCGCTGTCCAGCCTGCGCTGGTGCCCAGCGAATGGTGGAATCTGCGCTCTCTGCCCAAGCGGCCATGTGTTCAGCATCCGTCACCCCACTCTGTGCCCAGGCCCCCGCCGCCCTCCGGTCCCCGGGAACGTACCTGGGGGCAGCCCCGCAGGAGCTCGGCCGTCTGCTTCAAGGTGCTGGCGCTGGCCGCGATCGTGCGGTTGGTGTCCTGCTGCAGTGTGTGCCTGGGGGGGCGGGCATGGGGGTGCAGGGGGAGAAGACGGGGCAGGGGCAGCAGGAAAGGGGGATGACACAGCAGGCAGCAGGGTGGGCAGGCGCTCATGGGGGGAGAGGACAACGCACAGGATGGGAGAAGCCAGGCAGAGGAAACGGAACGGACAGGAGGGAGGACACGCGGACAGGCCCAGGGAGGACATGCGGACAGGAGGGAGGACACGCGGACAGGCCCAGGGAGGGGCGGACGAGAGGGAGCAACCGGAGGGGGCAGGTGAGGTGTGGAAGACATGACGCCGTAAGCTCAGGCCAGCGTGCCCAGGCCCCCAGGGCCCCTGCACACAAGCCTCAGCACCTGCACCCCCGGGGCCCAGCCATGAGCCCTCCCTCCGGAGGGACCCCTGGGGTCAGCACTGGTTGGGCCAGGAAGCAGGGTGGCCGCAGAGATGGCCCTGGGCCCAGCACTGAGGACAGCTCATCCCTCTGGGGGCCACAGTGAGAGGCCCAGCTCCAGACCCAGGAACACGGGAGCCCAGGCCCAGGGTCTCTGCCAGACCCTCGGTTTATGACTCTGAGTGTGACCTCGGAGGGCTGAAAAGGCCAGTCCCTCGCCACTCAGGGCTGACCTCGGGCCCTGTGGACAGAGTGACTCTGTCAGACAGACCCTGTCTGCAGGCGTCCTGCGGGCTCACAGGCCCAAGCGAGGGCAGGGCCCTGGCCTGGCCCCGGGAGCAGACACCAGAGAACCCACCAATCGGAAGTATCCAAAGCAGCTCAACGTGCTGGAGGACGTACACGCTGACGTCAGACTGCCCACAAGCTTCAGTGACTGAGACAACACAGCAGTGTCTCGGGACAGCGACGAGTGAAATGGAACCACCCCAGATGCACCCGCGTGGAGAGGCCGAGTAAGCACTGAAAGGTGCCGAGGTATCCAAAGGGCAGTCCCTTTGAGAGGTGGCATGATCGTATTCAAGGAGCATCAGCCTGGACTCCCACCTCACACCCTGTGTCCAGGGAGGGTCTCCAAGGCCGGACACACAGGCAGCCCAGGGCCCAGCGCCCCAGCCTGGCATGTCGGCAGGAGGAGGGGCGGGCTGGCTACAGGTGGAGCCGGGGTGGGGTAGGCAGGCCATGCCAGGGGCGGCATCGCACACAAAGCGGGTGATGGGCAGCGGCGGCTGTGGAGGGAGGGCTGGAGGCTCGGGTGCAGGAGCTGACCCCGAGCGGGAAGGGGCCCAGCCAGGCCTCACTGAGGAGCAGAAGGCAGGAATTCGGCATGTGGCTGGACATGGTCCAGCAGAGAGCTGAGGCCACAGGGCAGAGCTCCTGCCCGGGGCTCCTGGAAGGACCATCCACTCAGCGGTCCTTCCCGAGGGGCCCAGCAGTGCCCTGGGCTGACGCCAACAAGCCCCACTGTCACTGACCAGGCCACCTCGGTCAGTCTGGGAGTCCGTGCTGGGGGGCGGCACAGGGCCACTCATGGTTGGTGACAGAAATGAGCAAGCCCACCTCCGTCTCACGTAAGATGAGAAAAACAGGTTCAGCCCTGTGAGGCTCTTGTAGGCTCTACGACACTTACTCAATCTGAAAGACTGTCTTCTCTTCTGCGCTCAGATCCCATCTACTGAAATACCTTGTTTTCAATGTGGTGGCACAATGGATGATCTGTACTCATTTTTTTTTAATATCCTTACTTGGCGAAATAAAAAACTGGCAACTGGCAACGTGGAGAAAATATAGACTTGAAAACCCTGCACTGGTCTCAAGTCATCTGAAAATGCTAACGGTCCAGGAGATACACAGGTTCTCCCAGGGAAGGGGTCATGGAAGGCTCTGGAAGGCCAGGACCAGCGGGGTAGGCAGTCTGGTCAGGGGCCGCCCCACGGGGAGAAAGGGTAAGAGGGCTGAGGGTCCTGGGGCCGCAGTGGGGCAGGAAGGCACGGAGCAGGTTGCGGACCTGCAAGCTGAGGCTGTGGGAGAACAGGGACTGCCCAGAGAAGGGCCCACCTGCCTCTCCAGACCACTGGTGACAACACCCTCCGGCCACTGGGCCAGGGTGGGGAAAAGCACCCGCCTGAACCCAGGGCCACCACCCCAGGGGCCCGACTCAGACACAGGCAGCAGCACAGGCGACACACACGTCCCGCGGCAGTTCCTGACGCTGAAGACGGAGGAGCTCGAGCAACTCAGCTCAACGGCAAGCTCGCCAGACAGTAAGTCTGCGCCCTTGAGGGGCGTGGTCCCAGTGTGTGATGGGGGCATGTGCACTCCCAATCCCCAGCGTCAAAAGTGGGATCTAGAACACTATTCACTTAAATGTGATTCTACAAAACGCCTATGGACTTGAGAGGCTGGCAGGAAATACCAAAACACTCTCACAGCGCTTCCTCCGATGTCCCAGGCGTCCAAGTTCCCACAGGGAGCATATGCTACTTCCACAATCGGAAAACAATGCAGGCTACTTCAAAAAAGAAACTCAAAGAAGAATTTACAACAGAATTGCACACAAAATCTGCCAAGGGCCCTTGGGTGCCTCGCTCTGGACTCCAAGACTGGGCAGGGTGGTCCCGGTCTGCGTGCGTGGATGGATAGAAGGAAGGACGGGTGGGTGGGTGGACAGATGAGTGGGTGGGTTTTGGCCTAACTGTCCACTGAGAGGCGCAGCCTGGCCATGTGTCCAGTCTCAGCCTCAGACTGTTCCTCTGTAAAATGGGAATAACATTACCCGCCCTCCTCCTCCCCAGGATGTTGGCAGGATGTAAGGAGCCAAGGGCAGGGCTCCCCTGCCCTGAGAAAGTCCTGTTCTGCTGCTATAACCACTAACTTCAGAGCATCAAGAATCACCAGCAAAGAAAATGCTGAGCCCACAGGTGACCAGCCCAGACCTCGGAGTGCAGCCAGGCACTCATCCAGGGTCCCCCAACCGTAAGAAGCCCTGCGAGGGGCCTGGCCAGGGGTCTCAGAGTTACGGGCAGGTCAGGGCAGCTGCTGAAGGCGGGCACTTGCTGAGACCCAACAAGAGGCATCTGCAGGCACTGATCCCTGGGGTTCCTGCTCCCCAGGACCGACCGTCAAACCTACTACCACAGGACAGGTTCTCCTCTGGGGGTCCCAGACTCCTCGGTTGGCCCAGACCAACGATGGGGGTGTCAGGGAGGGCCCACACGGCCCACAGACTACAGAGTAGCCTCCATCTCAGGAGCCCAACAGAGCAGGGGTGGCAGGGGGTAGCAAATCGGGACGGCCATGGAACAGGACCGGGAAGGTCCTTGGGTCCAGGCACAGTGCTCGGGGGATAGGTCCTTGTGTCCCTCCACTGGGGCACTGGGCTCAGTCTGCCCAAGCACCCAGCCTCCCCGAGACCTAGAGGCCCCAGAGCCTCCTCTGGACTGGACAGGTTTAGGATGGAGGCCACCGGGGAGAGAGGCCCCGGCCTCTCCCATGGACGCCAATGCCAGGAAGAGACACGCGGTCCCGGCAGCGGCCTGTGCCCCTCCCAGCTCTTGCGGTCCACCACCCACAGTGCCCCTTCCCACGCAGGATGGCTCAGGCAAAGGGGACAAGGGCTCAGACACAGCCCTCCTCCTGAGGGGGCCCCACCCCAAGCCACGCTGGGGTCACAGCCCGCAGGGCTCCAGGGTGGCCCCCAGGGTGCCCTGAGAAGGGCCTGGAAGTCTTGGCCACGCTGGCCAGGCTGGACCCCTGCAGAGACCTGCTTTCTCCTCCAGGGCCCCGACCCTGAGGGAGCAGAGAGCAGCCCGACCCAGCCTGAGAGAAGAGCCAGGGGCCCCCAGAGGCCGCCCCAAGCACACAGCTCCCTCCTGTCCAGCCTGCATGCCCACCACCTGCACAGTGACCTGCCAGTGGCAGCCTATATCATGCAGGGTCCCCACGGGAGTGTTCACGAGTGTGCGGCCCTCCGTGTGCCCTGGTGTACTGTATGCAAGTGTGGGGAGAGTCAGTGAGGCAAAAGGTGTGTGCAGAATGCACCCTGCCACCCGGGTGTACATGCGTGTCACAGGACATCGTTGAGCCCCGTGGAGTGACACCCATGAGAGCCCACCCAGCTGTCGGGCTGGTGTGCAGAGAGAGCGGTGTGCCAGGAGGCGCAGGGCACCCCGAGCACACCCAGGAGCACTACACACACTCACAGGCTGTCCCGCAGCTCCTGCGTGTCACCCGGCGTCCCCAAGGACCGGAGGCTCTGCTCCAAGGAGGTCACTGCAAAAGAAGGGGCCGGGGTCAGGGGCAGCCGGGGCTCCACCAGGCGGTCCCCACTCGGGTGCGCCGCCCACCCTGCCTCTGCCCAGGGATGTGGGTGCTGAGGCTGAGGAGTGACTCTGCACCTGCCGGAGCCAGCAGGCCAAAGCCTCACGCCCGCCACCCCACAGTCACACTCCAGCAAGGCCCAGGCCCGTGTGGGGCTCAGGGGCTCTGCGGAGCTGCCTCCAGGGGGCCTCCCTGGGTCCGGGGAAGGGGCTGCTGTCCTCCCGGGGCCAGCACTCTCTGACCTGGTGGAGCTCAGGGCTCTGGGCAAGCACTGACCCCTGCCACGAGGGCATGGGGAGCCCTGCCCAGGCCTCGTGGGGCGTGGCTCTCACCCTCACCCCCACCCCCAGCCCCGGCTGGTCTGAGGGAGGCTCCGACACACTGGCCCCCAAGGACTGGGCAGGTCACAGGCTTGTGATGGGGGAAGGGAGATGGGGGCTGAGAGGGCGCCTGCCAAGGTCACGGCCCGGCCTGAAACCACAGCACTGGGCTCACCCCGCCCCGGCCTGCGGTGCTGAGTCGCCCGGGATGGCAGCGGGCACCCTAACGGACCCGCCCAGCACCACACAGCATCCTGGCCCCTGCAGCACACCTGGCAGCCCGGGTGAGGGCAGGGCAAGGCCCAGGCAGACTCACCGCTGGAGCTGATTTGGACGATGTTGGCCGACGCCTCTTGAAACAGCTCCTGGAGGTCACTTGGGTCCATCTGGGTGGCTGCAAGGAGACAGGGGAGGGGGTCACACCTTCACTGTGCAGCCTGCAGGAGCCCGGGGACACCGTGCTCAGACAGAGTCACCCCCTCCCAGCTCTGCCCCCCAGGGGTCTGGCAGAGCCTCTGAGATGGAACAGGGGCTGCAATGCTCAGCAGGGGATGAAGGGAAAGAGAAAGAGGCCAAGCCCGCCCCCCAGGAAAGCAGCAGCCTCAGAAACCATGAAGCCAAAGGACCACGGAATGACACCTCTAAGTGCTGAAAGAAAAGAAAAAAAGCAGTCAACCAGAATTCTATACCCAGTGGAGACACATTTCAAAAACAGAGGCAAAATAAAATTGATTCTCAGAAAAAAAGTGCTGAGAGAAGCTCTTCCAGCTGGAAAGAGCTGCAGGAAAGGAAATGTTAACAGGAGTTCGTCAGGTCAAAGGGGCCCTGTATCTGCGGGAGGAGCTGAAGGGTGCCCTGGGTACGTGCAACGCAAACAGAGACATTGTGTCTGGTTCCTGGTCTAGTCAGGGGGCAGGGACTGCCAGGAACACCGTGTCAGCCAGCGTGTGTGCAGGGGATGCAGATGGCAGCCTTGGAAGGCACTCACACACCCGGGGGAGGCAAGGCTGCTCCTTGAGGGGACACTAAAGACACCTGTCACTGACTCCAAGCCACCGCCATCAGAAACACCCTTGAGCCCACAGCGGAGGTCACACACCACACTACACTACACTCAGTCACTCTGAAGAAAGGACGGAGAAGAGAGAAAAGAAACAAGAACACAGGGGAAACAAGGCAACTATCAAAGTGGCATATTCATCCCTACACACAGAGGTTTTCATGACAGATAAACCATCTACAGCCGGCCATGGACCACGGCCCCGCATGGCCAGCTGGGACCACACTGGAGCTGGGGTTCAGAGCCTCTCCGTCACCCCCTTCAGGTCAGGGCCAGCTCTGCTCCCACCGCTCAGTCCAAGCAGAGGCGCCAGACGGATAGAAGCAGACACGACAGCGCGCTGGGCACAACAGGCCCAGGTCAGCTCAGCTAAGTCGCTCAGTCGCGTCTGACTCTTTGCGACCCCATGGACCGCAGCACACCAGGCCTCCCTGTCCATCACCAACTCCGAGTTTACTCAAACTCATGTCCGTTGATTTGGCAATGCCATCCAACCATCTCGTCCTCCGTCATCCCCTTCTCCTCCTGCCTTCAATCTTTCCCAGCATCAGGGTCTTTTCCAAGGAGTCAGTTCTTCTCAACAGGTGGCCAAAGTATTGGAGTTTCAGCTTCAACATCAGTCCTTCCAATGAACACCCAGGACTGATCTCCTTTAGGATGGACTGGTTGGATCTCCTTGNTTTCTCAAGAGGCAGATCAGGTGGTCTGGTATTCCCATCTCTTTCAGAATTTTCCACAGTTTATTGTGATCCACACAGTCAAAGGCTTTGGCATAGTCAATAAAGCAGAAATAGATGTTTCTCTGGAACTCTCTTACTTTTTCAATGATCCAGCGGATGTTGGCAATTTGATCTCTGGTTCCTCTGCTTTTTCTAAATCCAGCTGGAAAATCTGGAAGTTCACAGTTCACATATTGCTGAAGCCTGGCTTGGAGAATTTTGAGTGGTACTTTACTAGTGTGTGAGAGGAACGCAATTGTAGGGTAGTTTGAGCATTCTTTGGCGTTGCCTTTCTTTGGGATTGGACAGAAAACTGACCTTTTCCAGTCCTGTGGCCACTGCTGAGTTTTCCACATTTGCTGGCACATTGAGTGCAGTCCTTTCACAGCATCATCTTTCAGGACCTGAAACAGCTCAGCTGGAACCCCAGCATCTGCACTAGCCTTGCTGCAGTGACGCTTCCTAAGGCCCACGTGACCTCGCACCAGGAAGTCACAGCTTACACGTCAGAGGAGTGGACAGTGAGTCACTGTCCAGTGAGTCCAGTCATGTCCAGTGAGTCATGAGAGCAGCCATGAGCCGGCTGCAGCAGCCACGCTGACATCAGACAGAGGGGGACTCAGGACAACAGGCCCACCAGGGACCAGGCAGACGTTACGACAGCACCGGGGACTACCGAGGAAGACCACAAAAGGCCCTCAGGGTGCGCCTCGTGTCATGGCTTGAGAAAACACAGAGCAGAGATCGCTGGAACAGAGGCTGCCGGGCGTTCCCCGGGGAGCAGACGAGCAGACGGATCAGCTGGCCGTCAGCGCTCCCCAGGAACACGACCGAGTGACGTTCCAGGACGCTGCCCCCTGCAGCTGAGCACATGTTCTCATCAGACGCACAAGGAGCCCGCGGAGGCTGCCGACACCTCAGTCTACAAAGCGAGTCTCGATGAGCTGAAAACACTGGAATCACGCACAATATATTCTCTGACCACAAAAGAACTAGGAATCAATAACAGAAGGAGACCTGGAAATAGACAATTATTAGAAATACAACACACTTCCAAATAACCATTAGTAAAGAAAAAAACTCACCAAGGAAATTAGAAAATATTGTAAACTGAATGAAAAGATAATATATACAAATGTGAGTAAATAAAGTAATGCGGCGAGGATAATTTATAGCAATAAATACGTTAGAAAAGAAGTCCCCAGTCAATGATCTGACAAAAACAGATTAACCCCGACACAGGAAGGAAACATTAAAGGTCAGCAGAAATCAGTTAAATTGGCATGGATAAGCAGAGAAAATTGATGATATCAAAACCTGGCTCTTTGAAGCAATCAATAAAACTAACAGACTTGCAGCCAGATTAGTTGAGAACAAATAGAAAAGACACAAATTAGCAACAACAGGAAGGAAAGAGGAGCTCTCACTACAGATCCTACAGGCATTCGGAGGACAGGAACTTCAGGAACAAGTCGAGCCAGCAGCTCTGACAACTCAGATCAATGGGCAAGCACCCGGAAAGACACCCAGCAACAGAGCTCACTGCAGGAGAGCAGGCGGCACAGGCTGTTAAATGGACCGTGGGTGACAGTCCACCACGGATAGTGGCCACACAGTTAAGGGGAGAATGATACCAACTCTACAGAAACCCTTTCAGAAAACAGGAGGAAGAAAAGATTACCACTCACTTCAAGACTGTCTTATAGTTTCTGTAATCAGACAGCAAGGGCTGAAAAAGTAGCCACACGGATTGAGCGAAACACGAGAACAGGGGTGCCAGGTCATTCCAGGTTCCTCCAACGTACCAAACTGAATGCCTACGGAACCGCGACCCCAAACCCACCAGCTCAAGCATTAACGCAGCGAGGACCACAGGGGGACAATGCAGGGGCCTGGAGGATCCCTTGCCTCCAGAATCAAGACAGAGCAGCTGCACACGACAGGCCAGGAGAGGGACACAGGGGTCAGCAGACACTGCTGGGAAGGACAATTGGACGGACGGACAGTACAGGACGAGCCCCTGACTGGTACAGGCTGACAGTGCAGTAAGGGCCCTCCCCCGTCAGCCCAGGGAGGCGGGAACCAGCATGACCACCAGCAAGGATGCAGGGGCCTGAGCTCATACAACCGCTGTGGACGACGGGGCAGCAGCTTCTGACAGCTGAACTCACGCTCACGTGGGACCAGCAATCCAACTCAGGAATTTATCCAAACCCCCAAGAAAGCAAGGCTGCGTGTCCACACACAGACGTTCCCACCCTCTTCCTCAGCCAGTGAGGAGCCCGCCCCCAACATGGATGGGGCACGAATGTCCAAGAGTGCCCTCCTGAACACGGAAGGGACGAGCTGTTGACACCCACACCTCCGGTCAGCCCTCGAGCACAGCAGGACGGGGAGGGAGCCGGCAGTAAAGGACAGCGGCCCGCGGACCTCACACGGCTGGGGGCATGAGCCGGCTGGCCGGTCTGGAGGGGGCAGGGCCCACCGGCCCCCACCCCCACCAGCCCAGCCCCAGGGCAGCCGGAGACGTGACCGCAGTGGGACCAGTGCAGGAACCGGGCACCCTGCCCCTCCTGGCCACAAGGCTACAGCCCCGATGGCCTCACATGGCTGTCCCGCAGAGACCGCAGGCAGTCGGGACAGCTTGTGGCCCCAGTGCTCTCCGTGCGCCAGGCAGCAGGCCTGCCCTGACCCCGGCCACCACCCCCAAGTGCTGGGCCCAACGAGAGCAATGCTCCCCTAGAAAGGCCAGGGCAGGCTCTGCCCAAGAGGATGGAGATAACCAGGGCCTCAGATCCACACCTGCTCACCCTGATGCCTCCAGGCTAGTCCAGCCTGGGCAAGGCCTCTCCTGGATGCCAAACCAGCAAGAGGGAGAGAACCGGGGAGGAACCGGGGTCAGCGCTGCTGGGACGCTGCCCGGAGGACACATCTTTCTTGCTCTGGGTCCTAACCCGAAGGCGGGAAGTCGGTGCCCTGCAGAGAGAGCTGCGTCCTGTCTGCGCCCAGCTCCCCTGTGACCCTGAGGGAGGGTTGAGCCCCTGGGTGCCCAGGGCTTAGACGGAGCCCAGCGGGCAGCGGGAGTGAAGGAGCCAAGGACGAAGTACAGAAGGATCCAGAGACCACGGGGAAGGTGGCAGGGGGTGGGGGGCGCGGCGGCCATCGGTGGCCACGAGTTTCCCGCCAGCCGAGCTGGGCGAGGAACTCACCTCTGCACGGCTCGGGGCCGAGGCCCTCGGAGGGCGGGGCCTGGCAGGAGAAGGTCTTGGCCACGGCCTGCTCCAGCGGCGTGAGGGCCAGGGCCTGACACGGGGTGGCACGGGGCCAGGCGGCCGCCCCCGGCAGCTCGCCCAGCTTGCGCCGCACCACGGCCCGCAGGTCCCGCCACTTGTGTTTGAGGTCCACGAGGTCGCGGCGGCAGTAGCCCAACGCGTTCACCGCCTGCAGGATGCGGCTCCACACGCGGTACCTGCGGGCGGGCTCAGCCCGCGGCAGCCCGGTGCCGAACAGCAGCTGGTGGTGCTTGCTGACCTTGGCCACCAGCACCTCCGTCTCCTGCGGGCAGAAGTTGGGCTTCCTCTTCTTGGCCCGGGTGGTGCTGGCCACGTGGCCACGGGCCCTCGCAGCCGGCTCCTTCCGCGGGCCAGTAGGCAGCGAGGTGGGCTCTGGCGTCCCACTGCCGTCGGGCGCGACCCCTGGCCCTGGAAAGGCACCAAAAGGCGGGAGTTTAAGGCCCCGGCCAGGGCAGTGGCAGCTCCCGGGGAGCCTCCTCTTTGGCTTCCAGTTCAGAACAGTACTTGCTCCCACCCACGGCCCCTTCCCTGCTGGGCGTCCAGAGGTCTGGGTCCAAGTCCTGGCCCTGCCGCTTCCTGGCTGGGTGCGGAGCTGCGAGGGACCTCGCTTCTGGGCCATGGTGCCCATCTGTCTCCAGAAAGGCCCACCCCAGTCCTACTGCCTCCGGCAGTCGATGTCAGGAGCAAGGGGTGAGAAGGCGGGGCGGCCGTCCCATCACAAGGAGCAGGCCCTCCGGGGCCAGGGCCAGGGCTTGCACGGGGACGGCAATAACCGCTGACATGCCAGATGTCCTGATCAAGAAAAAGACTTCAGGTGCCACTGACCTCTGCCTTCCTGCCTAGCTGGCTGAGTCCTGGCCGTGGCTGCCCCTCCCAGGCAGGGTCTCCCTGAAGGGCACACCGAGGCCCCTACACTCCCCTGCCAGCCCCTCCCAAGCCACCCCTGCAAAGCAGATGCAGACTCTGGGCCCAGGGGCCACGGGAGTTAGACCAGTCCTTGCCTCTCCTGCAGCGCCAGCCTCCTCCCTGGAGCCCGCAGGACCCTGACGGCCTGGCAACATCCCTGGTCCAGCCCCGCCACGCCATCAGCTGTCCTCGGGGAAGGAAAGGGCTAGTGCTGGTGAGGGTGGAGATGGGCCAGGACCCCTGCTCCAGCTCCCCAGCTTCCCCGGCCAAAGACCCTGGAAGTTCATTCCCCGCCCACTGACCCTCCCACCTTAGGGCTCAGCATCTCTGTGTGGGACCCCCAAGACCCAGCATCCCAGCAGAAGTACCTCGCTTCCTGGCCCTCAGGCCTCTGGGAGTACCAGCGGGCCCCAGGTCACCGTCCCCGTCCTCACCCACACAGGGGTCCTGCAGGCTGCTCTCTGGCGATGGGCAGGGGAAATGGCGGATTCCATACTCGGTCCAACACTTTGCGCACTCTACAGACAGCAAGGGACAGTCTCGGTTAAGCCCCCCTGCCCAGCTTGGGGCACCTCTGGTGGAGCAAGGCTCTCACGCAGGACAGCAGGTGCACTGGGCCCTCTAAGCATCCACGCAGAGAGCTCCACTTGCTCAGACTCACCTCCTCCAGGAAGCCCTCCCTGACTGCCACACCCCCCAAACACCCCCTTTTTGCTGAAAGCCAGCACCATGTCCAGAACTTCAGATATTCTGACTCTTTCTCTGCACCCAGGTTCTTCTGAAAGGTGATTCCAAGCCAGTATGAAACTCCTTACAGTAGAGCCTCGGGTGTGGCCCCCAACCAGGCCAGGACTTTGACCAGTGCACAGCAGCATGCAAAAATGGAGAATAAGGCCTTGGGAATGCTCCTAGCAATTTGACATCTCCGCACCACCAGCATGGGACCATGTCGCTGTATTTTATAAAACCGTCGTTCATGGTGTATCGGAAGTGAAAATGAAAACAAAATCAGTTCCCTTGACACTCACTTCCAAGCCAAGGAGCAATGGTGGGCCCCCAGGGAGGATACAGTTTCCTCTCTGATAATTTTCATTTATTCAGAAACACTTCCTGGACAGGTTTGCCAGAATTCCTGAGCCTGAAAACACGTGTTGTTAAGACAGATGGACACCTCGGGAACACAGCTCTTTGGGATCAAAAGAGGCAGTGGTGCCAGGCTGAGACCACACACCAGAGCCCAGGCGCCGGAGCAGGGCGGGCACTGTCCAGAAGCCTGCCTTGGAGGAGATGTCTGACCACGTCGAGGGGCACGCGAGGTCCAGAGCTTCAGCACTGAGCTCCTGCAGCGGCAGCCTCTTTGCAGAAAAGGCCTCCGCGTGGAGTGTGTCTGCGGGTCCAGGATGGGCCCGACTCTTGAGAGGGCAGGGCCTGACACGTCCCTCTTCCCCCGGGGCTTCTGGGAGAGCTTGCGGGCAGGGCCACCTCCCCAGACGCCCGCCCAGGGTCCCCTGCAGGCAGACAGCCCAGCCCCGGGGACTGCTGCCTGGAGAGCACTGTGTAAGGAGGTGCAGTGGCCCAGGCCCCGCCACGGCATCACCACCGGCTTCGTGGGGAGCAGGGGGACCAGTGGCGCTCGATACCCTCACTGCACTGGAGGCCAGTCAGCACACGTCCAGACCCGGCCCACCTCCCCCCGATGCCCCGCAAGGTCCCCAGACACCCGTGGAGGAGCCAGTCTGGTCTGCTCTCCAGAATCATGTGAACTCTGAACTCTGGGGGGACAATGTAAATGCAAATGCAGACAGTTATTACAGAAAACAATAAAGATCATCTACCACCACACATTATGAGGGAAACACTATCAACACTCAGGGGTGAGGTCTCAGGCAAGGAGAAGCCCAGACAGGGGGTCGCCTGCCTCAATTGCCATGTCCGACCGTCATCCCACTGGGACGTGGAAGGGCATCCGGTGCTCTCCAAGGATCTGCAAGATGGCCTCACGCCCCATCCCAGACCACGGCCCATCACGCCATCTCCCTGAGATGGGCAGCAACGGCATTTCTGCCTCACATCCCCTGCGGCGAACATCTCTGCCAGTATCCCTTGATGGTGCCCTAACAAAGAGGCGTGGCTGGGCTGAGACAGAGGGAAGGAGGGGGTCCGGAGGAGGCAGGGAGTAGCGTGCCCTCCCCTGCAAGGGAGCCCACCCTCCACCCGCTGTAGCCAAATCACAGGAGAAGGGCCAAGTTCATGTCCATCTCTCCAGGTACCTTCTCACGGGTTGTGAGCCACCCCTCTCTCTTCAGACTTGGCCCATCTGTATACAGATCTGGGGGCTTTCCTTCCATTTATGTGAGTTCTTTACACGATAGTAGCATCCCACTTGGCTTTCTGCTGCATTTGTGATGGGACTTTACGGCAAGAGCCCACCCTAAGCTCTGCATAATTAACTTTACGGTCCCCGAGTAACCCGTAACATGCAGGGCTTGGCGCGCGGCAAGCAGTGGTGATCACAGCTGCTCCCACCCCTGGGGTCTCAGCAGGGCCCCTCTGTCTTGCCTGGAGCCCCAGCCCGCCTCCCTGGCAGCCCTGCAGGTCACCCCCAGAAACACACCCAGCACCCCAGCTGTCAGCAAATGCAGATGCTTTTCTGACAGAAATGCAATTAATGTAGAAATCAGTTTCAAAAGAGAACTAGGAAGAAATACACATGTTTGAAAATGAACTACAATTCTAAATAAATCCTGGGTTAAAGAAGAATTCACAAGGGAAATTAAATATTTACAACTAAACATTAATTTTAAAATGCTATATATTTTTGAATTGTGAGATTCAGCTAAAACCATGATTATTTGGACATTTATAATGGTAATGCTTTTATCAGAAATGAATAAAAACTGGATATGAATGATCTTAGGAGTTAGGAAAATGAAACAGCATCAACTCAAAGAAAGGGGGAAAACAGTGAAAATGTGGGCAGAAAGAAATCCATCAGATTTTAAAAGAGCTTTTAATAGAGATTCAGAAAATCAAGTCAGCCCTTTGGAGGGGTTTATAAAACTGCCACGAGTCTGTCGATGTTGATGACAAAACAAGAAAATTGGGAGCAACAATTAAACGACATTAGGAATAAAAGAGGGTGGGATCCAGGGGCCGAGGACGCTAATGAAAAGAGAGGCGCAGAGCTCAGCCTGTTAATTCGCTCCATCTCCCCCGCATCAGAGCGGTGCCTAACCCCGTCCATTTCCTGGTGGTCGGGGCCCAGCTGGATCGCGGCAGAGCAGGCGGTCAGAACCAGGGCCGCTGCCCTCGTGGCCGCACCCCTGACCACACAGTGGCGCTGCCCGGGTCCCACCGGACAACGCGCGGCTGTGTACCGTGCTACTTCAATCAACGTGAACATTCAGAAAAGCAGACACGCATCCACAGAAACGCAGCAAGCTGACCCAAGAAGAAGCAGAGAGCCTGGACAGCTGCTGCAGATGGCATGAGTGACAGGCAGCCCACAGAGAGCTCCAGGCCCTCCGGGAGAGGTGGTTTTACAGCGAAATCCCAGACACCAGACAGGAGCAGTCTTGTTCTTCCAAAAACTTACAAAAAACACGATCACCGGGACTAAGATCCCACACGCTGCACGACACAGCCTTAAAAAAAATACTAATAATAGAGAAGGGGACACAATCACCAGGACTTCCCCGGCAGGCCAGTGGTTAGGACTCCGCGCCCCCAGTGCAGGGAGCACAGGTTCTCTCTCTGCTCACGGGACTGAGATCCCACAAGCCACACAGTGCAGCCTGGAAAAAAATAATAGAAAATAAAATAATAATAACAATAATAATAATAATAATAGAAAATAAAATAACAATAATAGAAGGGAGGCCACAATCACTATTTCTACTCAGAGTTAAAATAGAGCTTCCAGTGGGCTCAAGACGGAAGGAAAAACACATAAAAGATAAAAGCGTTGAAACAGAAGAGGTAAATACTGTCATTATTCATAAATGACACTGTCTATACAGAAAACTCAAGACTCAAAAAATTATTACAATTAATAAAAAGACTTCAGCAGCATGGCAGGACCTTTCGTCAGTGATGTTGTCAGTGGACAGAACTCAACTATGTTCCACAGGGAACAGCTGGCTTCTTTAAGAAATCAAATCCAGGGACAAAAAGAAAAAAGGAAAACTAAAAGGGGAGCATACAGAGACCTGGAAAGACTGAAAAGGCACCACCAACTGTGACGTGTGCCTCTCGTTGGGAGCCCAGACATGCTGCATCTCTGCAGGGCTCCCAGGGCTAGCGGGTGGGAGGAAGCCCCAGCTGCATCTGGACGACATCTGGGCACAGAAAGGAGACCCGCCCTGAGACGGTCACACAGGAGACACGCGGACGTCTGGGGAGAGGGGTCACGAGCGCGCAGGTGATGCTGAACCAGCCCCGGGCATGACCCCCCGCCCCACGCCCAGTGCACCAGTGCTGGGTTCATGACGCCACTGTGTCTACTTTCCTGTATGGAATTTCCCACATTCAGAAAGTTAAAAAATAAGATGCAAATATTACGTAAAACCTGCACTTTCCTTCCTAGAACAACCAGTTGTGCGTGCGTGCGTGCACCAGCAACACAGACTTGGAATGGGTACTATGCTCCATTAATGTGCATGCTAAGCCGCTTCAGTCATGTCCGACTCTTTGTGACCCTATGGACAGGCTCCTCTGTCCATGGGGATTCTCCAGGCAGCAAGAATACCGGAAAGGGTTGCCATTTCCTTTTCTAGTGGATCTTCCCCACCCAAGGATTGAACCCACATCTCTGATGTTTCCTGCATTGGCATGCAGGGTTTTTACCACTAGCACCAACTGGGAAGCACCTGTCCCATTAATAATGGTACTATTTACAAAAACAGCAAAAAAAAGTTTTCCTTTTTGTTAAAATCAACTTAATGAAAGATATGTAAAATATGGAGAATATTACAAACTTTGTTGAAAAACATTAAAGACCCGTCAACAGAGAGACCTACGGTCTCATAGGCAGAAGACTGGTGAAGACAGCACGGCTGAGTCTCACACGTTAACACAGGTAGGGACCGATCTCAGCTGAGTGGCAGACGGGGGACTCTGAAATCCATTCACCAACAGAGGCCAGAGTGCCCGGACACGTCCACGGAAACACAATGGAGCAACCTGCCCTGAACAGCATCTACAGTTACAATAACTGCGAAAATCAGGGTGCGGCCTCGCACAGAAACAGAACTGACCTAGAGAATCTGCATAGATAACGCATTTATCACAGAGCTGGCACCACAGGTGTATAGAAAGGGAATTTTCAGTCAAGGGCCCGGGGACAATTTGTTATAACAGAGAAAAGTAGTGTATTACACTCCACCCTCCCCATACATAAAAATCAATTCCAGGTGATTGCAAGACTTAAATATGAAAAACAAATTGTATAAGCTTCAGAGGAAGTAAAGGCAAAACCATTATCCTTGTGCTAGAATTTATTAAACAGAAGCACGCACATCTTGCAAGGAAGACTGATGAACACAGTGGTGCTGCAGTTAAAAACGTGCTCTCATCAGCAGCACCACGAGGAGAAGCCAGCATGCTGGACCCGGCACGTCCAGAAGACACACGGAGACCCTGCCCATTGACAAGAGCAAGACAAACAGGAGGGGAAAATACACAGAGCGCAACTAAGACCCAAATGCCCAGCGGCCACGGGAAAACTGATCCCACTAGATACCAGAGAAATGTGAGCTAAAACCAGAAGACGCCATTCCAGGCCCATGGGCGGGCCACCGGTCAAGGCCGCCGCCCTTCGGCGCCGACAAGGCGGGGAGCAGGGCCAGGTCAGCACGACCGCCAGGCCCTGAGCTGCCCAGCCCACTGCCACTCCCTCGCGGGGGCCGTCCCAACCACACCAGCATCCAAGCTCCTCAGCACCAGACACAGGGCCCAAAACAGGCGCTCCGATGGCCTGTCATCGTGAGGCAGCCGTGCCTGCCACGGCCTCGCAGGTGACCGAGCACCCAGAGCAGGGAGATGGGAGGGCCACCAGGCGGACCGCCGTGACTGGGGGCAACGCCAGCAAGTCGCAGGCTGATTCAACCGGGCAAAGTCAAGAGACACACACGCTCACAGGGTCTGCTCAAGGACAGGACACAGCAAAAAAACCTCGAGGACAAGCCGGGAAGCCACTGTCCACACACAGGGCGGGGAAGGCAGTGGGATCCGTCCCCGGGAGTCTGCTGCGTCTCATTTCAGGGGAAGCCGCCATCCACACCCCAGGGCGGGGAAGGCGGCGGGATCCAGCCCTGGGAGTCTGCGTCTCATTTCAAGTCTGTGAGCACACATGCTCACACATTCACACTCGCTAGTGTCAGGTCTGCCCAGGGTCCCCAAGGACCTGAAGTCAGTTCCCCAGACACGAGTCCGGCAGAAAACCCCTCCGTAGGGGGACGGCAGCTGGGGAGCAAGCAGACCGCAGAGCCAGCCCATGAGACAGGGCCCAGCACACAGAAACCAGAAGCAGACCCGCCCTGTGGAGCCCAGGCCACTGCCCGTCACCCACGGCCCTCCGCTCCCCGGCCGTGCCCCACACGCCGCACCTGGTCCACATGGGCAGCCATGAGGCCGTTCGCCAAGCAGTCCAGCGCCTGCAGACTCCGTGGGAGGCCGCGGACCCCTGGATCCACCCCCGGGCAGGGCGGCAGCTCCACTCTGCTCTCCCCGGGTGCTGGCCGAGCGCCAACAACCCCAGCCCATCCAGGGCCAGGGTCACCCCCAATGCGGGGTCACAGGCAGGGCCTGCCAGAAGGACAGAATCCTCCTATGGTTACCATGGTTGCCAGCATACCACAAGGGAGACCTGCCCCTGGCTGACCCCCACACACCCGCGCTGCCCTTACCTAGGGGCTGATAGCCTTGCCGGGAGGGCCCGCCGAAAGGGCCGCGGCTCCCCAGGCCACCACTGCCTGCGATGGATCCATAAGACATCTTCTCAGAGGACGCAGGGCTGCACCTTCCTGCAGAGGAGACAAAACACGGGGTGGGGGGAGAAGGGGAGGGGTCAGAGCTGGAGCTCAGGTTTCACTGCGGCTCCACCCACCCCGCCCAGGAGCCTGACTGCTGCAACCTCACCTTGCAAGTCAACAACTAATGTCTCAACACGGAAACAAGATCGGGCAGTAAAGAGCGACACGAGCGTGTCACTCAGAGTGTCAACAGCCTCCTAGAAGCACCCAACGCAGCCACGGGACGGGAGGCAGGCGGCTGGCAGGGGTGGGGGGACTTCTCCCTGAATAAACCACGCAGCACTCCTTCTCTCTAAACTTTATGCATGGAAACTTTTAAAACATTAAAGCTTAATTTGCAAAATCCCAGTGCAATCCTCCTCCAGAAGGCTCGGCCTGGAAACACAGCTGCAGGGGTGTCTGCCTTGAGCTGACAAGACCCAGGGGGCCCCCAGCATTGTCCTGCGTGGCCACAAGACTCAGGGCAGGTGGGGACCAGGAGGACAGCCGTGCACCCGCCAGGCACGCGTCCAGCGTGGGCCGGAGGGCTGGGCCCGGGAACCTGGCCGTGTGGGTGGCGAGGGCTCCCACGGGAGCTCTGAGACCCTGGGGGTCTGCACAGCCCTGGGGGTCGCGGCTCAAGCGGGAGCAGGGAGCAGGGGGCCAAGCCTCCGAGCCACGGCTTGGAGGAAGGGGCAGGGCAGCCCCGGGAAGACAGGAGGGGCACCGTATGTGAGGTATCCCTTGGCCACAGGCGGAGGCTGCAGGCGGCATGAGGCACCTGCCGGGCCAAGGGTGCGCCCTGCGCCTGGCCACAGGTGGGCAGCTGGACGGGGCTGTGGGGACCAACCAACAACACAGGCTGCCTGAGGGGCAGAAACAGGCCTAAGGCTGCCACCGACATCCTGATCTGAGATGGAGGGAAAGACCCCCAGCCTGCTCCCTCATGTAGCCTGCAGTCTCCTACGGCCTGTGCTTTTGCTCGGAGACTGGGAGATGGAGCCCAGCCACCTCAGGGACCGCAGAGCCAGCTCGGCCAGAGGATGCCCAGAGGGTGTCCTCCGCCTGCTGCCCGGGCCCGCCCCCCGGCAGGGCTCTGAGCCTCAAGGGTCTGGGCGCCCGTCCCCGGCGGGCCCATCCCCCGCCCTGTGCCAGGCTGCGCCCTCGGCTTCCGTCCGCTGTTCCCGCCCACCCCGCACAGCCAGCTCACGGCCGACTTCTCCACCGGAGTGTCCTCACTGTGAGGGCGGGCAGCAGGCAGCCACCGCAGAAGGGGAGAGCTGCTGGCAGCCCAGCGGGCGGGTGGAAGCTGCAGCAGGGCCAGGCCGGAGGGCCGGAGGACGCCCCTGGGCTGGGGCGCCCAGGAGGAGCCCCGGGCTGCCTCAAAACTGCCGGCCAGACTCCAGTGAGCGATGCCCACTCCCCAGGAGGCCTCCTCCAGAGCAGCTTCCGTGACCACCCACCAGGGCGGCCAGCCTCCTCCGCCTCAAGCCCCCAGCTCACGGTGGCGCCGGGCTGTACCCTGGACGTCAGCCCCCCGCAACAGCCTGAAGGGAGCTGTCTGTCCCTGGACTGCCAAGATCCTGTCCCCTGGGCACCAGGGGAAGCAGGGGTGCCAGGGAACGCCCCAGCAACACAGCTCTGCCCGCAAGACAAAGTCCCCAGGCCCTGGAGGAAGGAGCAGCCAGCCAGCAGGACACCACAGGATGCCAGGCTGGAAGGGGCACCCGGACACAGCTCAGGCTGGGGGCCAACAACCCAGCTCCAAGGACAGGGCTGAGGCCGCAGTAGGGCAGGCCCTGCCTGTGACCTCTGCCTGCAGCTCTCTCTTGCCAGCCTGGGGCTCGCAGAGGCCAAGGGCCCCCCAAGACCAGGGCTGACTCTCCCAGCAGCAGACAGGGAGTGGTACTGTCTACACGGGGGTGTCCCAGGATGGGCCCTGTCCCCGCACTATGCTGGAGGGACCCCCAAGGACGGAGAACAGGTCCCGGCGGGCCCAGTACGAGCCACTCTCGTCTCTGGTCCCACTTTCTTCTCTGTAACCGCGGCAGCAGGCCCACCCTCGGTGGGTCAGGGTGCCGTGTGAGCCGGGGCCCCGCGGCGACGCTGGACAGCAGCAGCCCTGAGGGAGGCGGGAGCTGACGCAGAGCAGGAGGGCACTGGGGCCCCGCAGCCCCTCTGCAGGGGAGAGCTAGCCTCCCCGCGGGGCTGCACCGCGCCCAGCGCCTCGCTTCTGCTGCAGCCTCGGTGAGGTCCTCCCAGCGCGGTGACGGACTCGGCCAGAGCAGCCATCCTCCCCGCCCCGGGCATCTCCAGCCTCAGCAGAGCACACGGCCACGTCCCCGGCCTGCCCCACCTGGCCGGGTGTCCCCGTCCTGAGCCGGGACCCAGTCTCCCCTAATAGGAGGTATCAGGAAGGGAGCCCCAGAGAGGGTGGCAAGTCAAACAGGAGGAGGCATGTGGAGGAGGCCACCCTCAAGGCATGTGTCCTCACACCTGAGGGCCCCCGGTATGTCTGCTCCCACCCGAACACTCACAAGCCCCAGAGGGCCGACAGTGTGGGCTCCCAGCCTCCCTCAGGCCTTGTCCGACCCCACGTCGGCCGTGTCAGGGCCAGTGGTCCTAGACACATGGGAGGGAGGCCCGAGACCACCCAGTCCAGAGGAACCCTGGGGGCCGGGTAAGGAGCGGGCAGCTGCTGGGCCCCCAGGTCCGCAGAGGGAGGTGCGCCCAGCCTTCCTCCCAACTGAACCCAAACCTCCCGCTGCCCTGGTCTGCACCCCCAGAAGCCTCAGCACCAGGCCAAAGGTGGGAGGCTGACGCACCCACTCGGGGAGTCCCCTCCTCCAGAACCTCGGCTCCCACCCACACCCCGGCCGTGTCCCTGCCAACAGCCCTGGGAACCTCACCCTCATGGCCGAGCTTGGCCCCTCGACTCCCACCCCATGCGTTGGGGTCACCCCGCTTCCTCCTCGGGGTCTCCCCTCCCCGGCACACACAGCCCTTGTGGAGCCAGCTTCCAGGCACTGCAGGACCCAGGGGGTGGTGTGAGCTGCAGCCTGCTCGCCGTCACGGCCCAGCCCCCCCAGACACGACCATCCCTCCTCCGGCCACAGGCCTGGCCTGGAAACATAGACACGGGGCCAGGCTTTGGGGCTGAGACGGCAGGTCCGTCAGTCTCAAGGGATGCAACTCTCCTGTGTGGTAAAGTCTCTGCAAGTCACTGAATCAACACAGGCAGAGGGGTCAGGACAACGGGACTAAACACCTGACCTGGGCCAAGAGTGGCCGCAGGCCTTCCCAGGCCCGCTCTGTGTGAGGCATGTGGCGGGGCTCCCTGGAGGAGGCAGGCCTGGGGAGGAAGAGGCTCTGCGGGCCACCAGAGAGAGAACCGGCCAGGGCCTGCCCCCTACCCAGACGCCCTCCGCTCACCTGGTCCCACGCCTACTGGCGGGGAGGCTGCTGGGGAGCCCTGCCCTGGTTGCATTCTGTGCTCTGCCCCACCCAAGCCAGCTGCGCGGCTCCAGGGAGGCAGGAGGCCCCCGGGCTGCACTGCTTAGAGCCGAAGCGCTGCCCTGGGGAGGACGAAGCAGGAGCAACACCAATGCCCAGTCCCGCCCACACGTCTCCAGGAGCAGGCCCAGTGGCCCAGGCTGCCAGTCACTAAGGGCCTGGAGGACACCGTCAACCACCCCACACCAGAGCCCTCCCTGGGCCAGACCCACGCCTCCCTCCACTGACTGCTACCCTCAGGCCTGCCAGAGGGCTTCAGATGGCAGTATTCTGGAGCCAAGCAGCTGGGAGACCCTAGGATGAAGAGCAGGACGTCACGGAGACCAGACTGCCCGGCACACCAGGCCCACGCCTGCTGTGTCCTGGGGGGAAGACGTCCGGGCCACGGGGCCTCAGTTGCAGCACGTGGGATCCTCATCCTTCACTGCGACATGTGGGATCTAGTTCCCTGATCAGGGCTTCAACCCGGGCCCCCTACACTGGGAGCACAGGGAAGTCCCTGAGACCCTAATTTTTAAAATGAGAAAACTGAACTCAGGGAGGGGCAGCGACTCACCCACAGTCTCAGAGACAGACAGGTGGAGGTCAAGGCACCTCCCTGCGTGGCTGCAGTGCTCCCCACGCCTGCCCCAGCGCTCTCTGCTGGTTCTCCCACAGCCCACGGCCACACCTCCCGCAGCACCGGCCCCCGGCCCCCGCGAGCACCCGCCCCACCCCCTGGCGCTGGCAGGCTGTGTGTGGACACAGTCTGCACCGCAACAGACGTGCGTGGGCCACTCGCTCACACAGCTGTGAGTGTGACCATCACCCTCCCAGCCTCATCCCCTAAGACGGTGTCAAGCTCCAGAGGAACAGGAGCACTCATTTCTCAGTTACAAAACTCCGTTCTTCACAGATAGGAATTAAGACTACTTGGAGAAAGGGCTGATCCCAGGACTGGGGCAGAGAGAATAAAAGATAAGCCTAGATCTTTCTGTTACAAAAGAGCGAGGAAGGGATCAGAGCAAGGGGGCTGTTGCCAAAGGACACAGAGGCCAGCCCGAAAGGCCACCTTCCGCTGGGCAAATCTGGGGCTGTCTGAGCATGAAAAAAGACGATGGTAATACAAGATTGCAACTTTTACTTAGATAGCCTCTAAAGAACATCTATCATTTATTGATTTATCTGGCTCAGCCAGGTCTTGGTGGCAGCAGGGGGGTCTTCCATCTTCACTGTGGTCATTTTCCGACTGGGTGGAACCCAGGCCACCTGCATCGGGAGCTCAGTGGCCCCCAGGCAAGTCCCTATTATAGGCTTGTAAAAAGTAAAGTGAAAGTCCATGAGTCCACGTGGTTGTAAACACACACGAGGAAAAAGGAAAAAGCTCTTCGTCAAAGCAGACGCTGACAACTAGGAAAGAAGGATGGAATTAGCAGCATCCTTACGAGGACAGATTCATACGGAAAACCCCAGTCACCAGAGCAACACAGGAGAGGACAGGTCAAGGAATGATAGTAACT